GTGGGTCACATTTTTAATTTTTTAACCTATTAGATATGCAAACTTTTTAAATCTTTCTATTGTGTTACGTAGCCTCAGTATTAGGCCTTTGATGGCCATTGACAAAATTTTTCTATGTCAAATCATTTTTGAGTTTTGGGGGTTTTTGTTAAAAAAACGAAAAGTGGTCAAAGTTACCCCGCAGGTCAAAGTAACCCCATTTTACGGTAACTTTGAAATTACTGGAAATCTGAAAGACCGCAAGTGCACACAGTAAGGTTTCCAGTATGTTGGAAGAATCAGGATGCAGTGAAGCTTGTCTGGAAATCAGTTGCATTGTGTGTAAGTGTTGCGGTGCATGGATAGTAAAGGAAATACTATCAAAGTTGCTTGCAGCACTTTCTTATTAAAAATTACCGGCGACAGATCTTGAAAATGGCCGGCAATGCTTTGGGCTAAAAAAACATATCTTGGTGATGCTGCTTGCGCCCTGGTGATGAAGTATCTCTTATCTACGGTAATTGTTTTGTCATATTTAACAGCCAGTCTTGGCTGTTTGAACTGGAAAATTTACCAGAAGACACCCATGAATTTAACAAGTTGTACCAGTTCCCATGACCCTTTTCTAATTTCATCCATGTAAAATTGAATAAAATGCCTATTTCCACCTGTAATTTTAGCAAACAATGTCCTCTCATAGCCTGGGTGCATTATTGTGCTTGCCAGTTGCCAGGGTGCTCATATCAGGGTGCATATTATTGATTATCTAAAGATCTTTGGCAATGCACATATAGCAAAACATACCGTACATCTTCATGAGATTATGCCAACACATTTGCTTTGCAAATGTTGTGCAAATTACCACTGTTATGGCCAATGCATGATCATGGGCACCAACATACACAGATTGTGATAAATATGACCAATGTGTGATAATTGGTACAGACATACATGCATTACAATCAATATGATGATGATGGCTGAATACTCCTGGCAAACATCCTGAATGCTATGCCGCTGTGGGCAACATTGTGGGCTTGGAAACCATCCATATCTTGGAAATGCATTTGCCTGTACCCTGGCTTTGTAGTGCTAGTAAATTGATATGAATGACCTGCAAGATTCAAATCATGACTATAAAGTATGTATACCTACTCTACTTTTTTCAGATCAGATTAGTTATATATAGCTTAAGTATTTGACATTATTTGGTTATAAATCAATGCTGCTATCTTAGCCTAAATAATGAGAGTGGAACAAATTATTCTGCTTTTATGATTCAAGATTCCCAAACTTTTTCCTCAGAACTTCATCATGAGGTTCAAAGCTTCAATTGTGTTTGGTGCAGCTATTGCAATAGCCACTCTAATTCTACTCTATCAAATTGTAAGCCTTCCACCAGACAATAACTCTGCAGTCCCACACCAGCTCCAGGTATGATGGAACTGTGACATAGAAAACAATAGTATAAGGAAATCTTGCCATCTGCATTTTGGACAGTCTGAAATAATTATAGTATTTGTCACATATGTTTTCATTTTCATAAACTCTATGTATTTGCTGAATTTGACATCTCAATTTCTGGTCTCTCTTTCAGGGCTTTGATTCTTTGGAGTCACGAATCAAGAAGTTGGAGCAGGATATTGCCATAAACCACAATACAATTAATGAAATCCATGGCCTTATGAAGAAGATCAATGGTCCAAATTCCGCAGCAGCCCCTGGGCCAGACTCAGCATATTTACTCCCTAAACTGAAGTAAGTGCCTGATGATCATCCTTTATTTGTTTTCTCATATCTTTATACATTGTTTGCCTTGAAAATATTTATATATTTTATTCATGTATATTCATTCTAGTACCTATCTCATTTGTGACAAATTTACTTCAACAGTTAGGCTGCCTATTTTGCTAAAAATAATTTATTAATGTATTATTTTTTAATAAAACTGGCTCACGTTTCTGGAACTCGAATCATTTTCCTTATAGTAGACCTGTAGCTGGAACTGACAGTGGTGCAACATTCACCCAAGAAGCTGCCATTCAGTTCAACACATCTGTGGCCAAACTGCAGGAAGCTGATTGCTCTTTCGCCCAATCACCATCTTCAGCAGTTGATATTTTGGTGAGGCCTCCTGGATTTGTGCCAAAACAGTTCCAAAATAACAAACAATAGTACCTATTGGTCTCTTTACTCATGCAAAACATTTGATAAAATCTGTTATTTGTTAATCTAAAATTCAAAATTATACTTTAGAGAGATCCTCAAAAATCATTATTGTTTGAAACCTGGAATTCAGCTTGGGTTTGCTTTAGATTCTGAAATAGTAGAAAATTTTTCATTTCATTATTGAAAATAAATATTTAAATTTTTATTTTTATTGCTACTATTAACTTTCTGTATCAGATGGAAGATGTATACAAGTCCCTGCCATTTGAAAATCCTGATGGCGGGGCATGGAAGCAGGGCTGGGACGTGACGTATGACCGCAGCCAGTGGACTCCTGAGAAGCCTTTGAAAGTATTTGTAGTTCCTCACTCTCATTGCGACCCAGGTAGGACATTTTACATGATAGTGTAAAGTTCAAAAATAACAAACTTTGACTGCAAATTTAATCAGCTTGTTACTGGAAACTGATCAAATATTTAATTTATTTTTTTGATGGATTGACGGAAGTTTAGATTTTCCTTAAGTGTTATTTCATTTAATTTTTTTTTGCTAGTCATTGAGCACAGCAATATTATAAGCTTATGTTCTGTGCAATGGATCAAGCCTCCTTTCAGGCATGTCACTTGGCTTTTGTCCCTGAGTTTTTATAACTTTCTTGCTGAATACTGTCATAGCAGTCTCAATACTGTTAGTATTTATAACAACTATGTATTACGGTATTGTTGTTGCAGGTTGGATCAAGACTTTTGAGCGCTATTATTCTGACCAAGTATCTCACATTCTGGACAACATGGCTCGTAAGCTACCTGAAGACAGTCGCCGCCGCTTCATTTGGGCAGAAATCTCATTCTTCTCTATGTGGTGGGAGCGTCAAACACCAACTGTTCAAAATACTGTTAGAAAGTGAGTTTTTCAAATAATTTTGCAATTTCCAGATTCACTGAAATGCCTAAGTGTTTCAGCTGTTTAATGCATTTTCAAATTAAAATGGGTTCTATTGTAAAACATGTTTTACAATTCTGCAAATATTTCATCTTTCAGCTCCGTCATTAGCTAATAGCCTGATTGCACCCAGCATAGATGTCTTATAGAAAACGTTGTCTTATTGAATGGAACATAATTGCTTCCTTCCATTACAAAGGCCTGCCTAACATATTGTTGTTGTCTCTGTCATCATCCTGTAAGAAGATTTCCTCATGTTATAATGTTTGTGCCTGGTAACACCTAACCAAATGAAGTCCAATTATTTAATACCTCGCAATTATTTTGTATTCGACTAAACAATATGATGAGCTTTCAGTTATTTGGTTATCTTGAAGTTTAATGTGCTTGACAGACTCGTAGCACAAGGGCAGCTGGAGATAGTGACTGGTGGCTGGGTCATGCCTGATGAAGCCGTCACCCACTACTGGTCCATCATAGACCAGCTCATCACTGGCCATGAGTGGCTCCGTACTCACCTCAACGTCCGACCAAAGTGAGTGTTAGAGTCTTGAGTGGCCTGGGCCACCTCTCTATACATCTCATGTTTTCAGTACCTATCGTCAGTTTACATGTGTACCTGGCTAATAGAGAATGCAAATCATTGGTACCTGTAAGTAGTAATGGTTAGAATGTTTGAGTTGACTTTTACATGCATTCAATAAGATACGTCATTAGTTATATTCGTTTCCAGAGAAAACAATGAATGCAATGTCTACCATTGTTTATTTTAATCACTATTAAAACTACTATTTATGCAAAACCAATCATTCTCCTATCTGTTCAAGCAGTAATATAAAATGTAATCCTTTATATGTTTGAATATTTTATGCTTGAGCAGTAATGGCTGGTCCATCGATCCTTTTGGGGTGAGTCCTACACTAGCCTACATCTTGAAGCGGTCTGGGCTGGAGAACATGCTGGTGCAGCGCACTCACTACGCAATAAAGAAGCATTTTGCCACCAACAAAAACCTGGAGTTCCGCTGGAGACAGTCTTGGGGTGAGAGCCATCAAATTATTTTTAATTTTATGCTCTACTGTAGTAAGGACTTTACTGTGAAGATGGTCTATGGTCTAAACAGTCTAATGACTTCTTAGTGACTAAAGTAACGCCTCAGTCGTCTCCCATCAAATGACTTATCATCCGAAATCACTCCTCAAGAATCTCTTATTTTAAAATAGATAAGGTAATTTCAGATACTAAAATATTTCCATCTTCTGACAGTTTCTTACTAGAAGTGTTCCTTGTTAATAGCTCTGGGTGATTAAATTTGTCAACTTTACCTTACGAACTGTTCAACCTGTATTGTTAATGCAAATTTGGAACAAAAGCATGTATCAATCCCAAGTCGCGAATACAATTATTTTATGACATGATCTCTCTCAAGTTATGTGAACCTTTAAATTCATGAGTTCACTTCATTTCAAAGTAAATAGCATTGCATAAGAATACAGTATACAAATAATTTTGTGTAACACCAGTGCAACTTTTGCAGATCCTGAGTCGAGTACAGAGATTCTGTGCCACATGATGCCGTTCTACAGCTACGACATCCCACACACCTGCGGCCCTGACCCTAAAGTGTGCTGTCAGTTCGACTTCAAGCGCCTGCCAGGCTCACGTGTCACTTGTCCTTGGCGTATTCCTCCTCAGCCCATCACGCCACATAATGTGCAGTCCAGGTCACTGCTTATGATAGGTTTTATTATCAACGTTATTCAAAAGTTTTGAACTTTTTAAACTAATAAAAACGTAGCGTCTGCTTTAATCATGAGTTGATTTGGATGCAGAAAATTGACAGCCCGGTTGGCAAGGGAATCTGAGATCAAGCCTTGAGACGAAATGTGTTTTTTTACTGACGTTGAAAGCTGTATTGTATGATTGAAGACTAGGCAAGGAAAAACATTTGCTAAAAATGTTGGGTGGTTCATGACATGGAAAGGCAATTAGTTAAATGAAATGTGATACGACAGTAAGCTAAAAATTAATCTGTGACTCGTCAGAGCGGAGATTTCGAGTAATATTTGACACAGCTGAAGAGTGATGCTAAATGTTCTATGGTGTGGCAGGGCGGAGATGCTAAATGTTCTGTGATGTGGCAGGGCGGAGATGCTAAATGTTCTGTGATGTGGCAGGGCGGAGATGTTGCTGGACCAGTACCGTAAGAAGGCTCAGCTGTACCGCACCAACGTTCTGCTGGTGGTGCTGGGGGACGACTTCCGCTATGACACCAGCGACGAGTGGGACGCGCAGTTCACCAACTATCAGCGGCTCTTTGACCACATGAACGCTCACTCTGACTATAATGTTCAGGTGCTAAGGCTTGATCGGTGTTGTTTTAGACCTCTTAAATATTGCTTATCCTTCTTCGTTTTCTTTGAACTAAACATCATTATTCTTAACTGTCTTAGCAGTACTCATCCATTTTCGTTTTCTTTGAACTAAATATCACTATTATTACCTCCGCAAGCAATACCCTTCCTCCTTCGTTTCATTTAAATTAAACAGCATTATTATTAGCCGTGCAAGTGTTTTTCATTTAATTGCTGTTCTCCCAATTCAAAATAGATTCTTACTATGTAAACATACATACATGAATTTTACACAGCGTTGCGCCTACTGTTATATTCGGCCTCAATGGAATAACCTGTACTGGATTGTCACTTCGTCTCTTTTGAGATGCTAACGCTGCTTCCTTCGAGCCAGCTTCAGCGGGCTGGACATCTGAGACCTTCCGCCCCTTGTGGGTGATTAACTATCAGCGGCTCTTTGACCACATGAACGCTCACTCTGACTATAATGTTCAGGTGCTAAGGCTTGATCCTTGTTATTTCTGACCTCTCAAATGTTACTTATTATTATTTGTTTTATTTGATCTTAACATCATTATTATCTCAATGAGCACCACTCATCTATTCTAGTTTTCTTTGATCTAAAGATCATTATTCTTATTGCAATGAACAGTCCTCGTCTATTTTCATTTTTGAACTAAGGATCACTATTATTAGCTCCGCTATCAATACTCATCCTCCTTCGTTTCATTTGCATTAAACATCATTATTATTAGCCCTGCAAGTGTTTTTCATTTGATTGCTGCTCCCTAAATCAAAATAGATTCTTACTATATAAACATACACACATAAATTTTACACAGCCTTGCGCCTACTGTTATGTTCGGTCTCAATGAAATAACCTGTACTGGATGAAAGAATGCCTACATATTGCTTCAGTCATACCTGCATTAAACTTCTGCTCAAGCACAAAGATGATGCATGTATGTGTCCCAATTTTTTATTTTTTAATTTTTTTTACTTCTCACTGAAGAAAATTTTTCATCAAATTCCATAGGCACAATTCGGGACGCTGTCTGAGTATTTCCACGCCCTACGTGAAGAAAGTCGCAGCACCCAACAGCAACAGCAGCAGGGCAGCGCTGGGGAGGACGAAGAGGCGCTTTTCCCATCTTTTGCTGGGGACTTTTTCAGTTATGCAGACAAAGACGACAACTATTGGACTGGCTACTTCACCTCACGGCCTTACTACAAGGCTAGAAGTCGCATGCTAGCTGCCAAGATCAGGTGACGCGATATAACAACGTTTGTCACGAGCAGTATGTAATAATAACACGAGTTTGTTATTACGAGCAGTTTGTAACATTGTCATCAAAAACGTGAAAAGTTCCTGTCGATTTGTTAGCTTGTTTGTAACACTACAACCGAAGTTAAAAATTGGATTGTTCAGTTTCGAATTAGATTGAATCTGGATAGTAGTAAATCTTGTACTAAAATGTAATCCTTCTAGAATTGTGCAGTGAATTTTTTGGAATCACACTTTACTTGAATGTACTACCGTACTCTAGCTCTTGCATTTAATAATTGGTCTTTCTTTCAGAACTTCAGAACTAAATCACGTTGTCTATTTGATCTCTTGGCGCTCACATGTGCTTCAATTTATCGAAATGACTGAAACTTCTCTAAACTCTCAAAAGGGATGGGAAGAATTTCATTTGGAAACGAGGAAATCATTCATGAACTGGGCGAGATACCTGATTATAATTGCAATATTTGATAGTGTGTGACGTCTTTCATTGCGTGTCAACAAAGACTCCTCAGACTATCGATATATGTCCATAAATAATTGGATGTGGAGTTGAAGATTACAAGTTTCTACCTAAAATAAAGCCTAAGTTAAGTAAATGATATAACACCTTGAGCATGCAATGAATGAGTATATTTTTCACAGGGCTGCCGAGATCTTGTTCAGCATGGCTGTGGGTAGCAGCGATACTGTGGTGGTGGGCAGCGTGGCAGAGCGCCTGCAGGCGCAGCTCATCGAGGCTCACAAAGCTTTGGGTCTTTTCCAGCACCACGACGGCATCACCGGCACCAGCAAAGACCATGTGGTGCTCGACTATGCCAACATGTAAGGCCGATATCATAATGTTATTCGTGTATAGGCAAACATGTAAGGCCAATAGCAGCACTTTGTGCTAGACTAAGCAAACATGTGAGGCCGATAGCAGCACATTGTACTTGACTATGTGAGCATGTGTGGCCAATAGCATCACATTGTACTAGAGTAACTAGACTATGCAAACTAGAGAGGCCAATAGCATCAGATTGTGCTTGACTATGCAAACATGTGAAGCCAATATCATAATGTTATTCTTGACTATGCGAACATGTGAGGCCAATATCATAACATCACTTTTGACTATGCAAACATGTGAGGCCAATATCATAACATTATTTTTGACTATGCAAACATGTGAGACTAACAAATACTCGAATGTTCGCTTAACAATATTTATTACCTCCTACCTATCATGCGTTATTCAGGGAGATTGTCAAAGTATGATTGTAGGAGTCTCTCTGCCCACTAAATACAGTTGAAATAATTAGCTTTAAGTATATTTGTCTTTGCCAAGGTTTGAAGGTTTGATCAAAATTATATTCACGCCATTCGCTGTGAAACGATAAAAAAATATTGATTGAATGTATTAATTGAATGCTTTTTCCATAATTTCCTGCTATCATTTAAAATCAGCAGCAATAATGTTTCTTCCACTATTTTATTAAAGTCATTAAAATATTTTCTTGAAATATGAAGCATGTCCATCTTGTACCTAACGCATTAGAATATGCACGCTAAAATCCTTTGTTTCTCAGCTTACTGAACGGCATCCAGACGAGTGAACACGTCATGCAATACGTCGCTCACACGCTGCTCTCCCCCGACCGCGTGAGTACCTCAAATCCACGGTGAAATTCTGCTGCAATTTTAGCCTTGGTTACTTCGGAACTGCACGTACGATTACATTTAAGATTTAATAGGTAGTGTTGATGGTCTCGTATTACGAGTAAAAGAATAAGTTGTCTTGTTTCCAGCCTGTTGAAAATAAGATATGGTCTATTAAAACTTGAACTGATGGCTTATGTTTAGGTAAGAATTGCGTGTTTAGACATGAGCCGCCCGGTAGCAGCACGAATAAAATGCTCCTTCAACAATGCAGGAGGCGCCAGCTCCTGACGCCGTGCTGCTGGAGGTGTCAGAGAAGCACGAGGGCGCCAGCGCTGTCAGCACGCCCCGAGTGCTGACACTGGAGGGGCGGGGTAGGGGAGGTGTGGTTGTCTTCAACCCACACCCTCACACCTACCGGGGACTCGTGACCATCAGGGTCAACACTCACCTGCTGAAGGTGAGTCATGCTGTAAGTGTACTCACTTGCTGAAGGTGAGTCATGCTGTACTCACCTGCTGAAGGTGAGTCATGCTGTACTCGCCTGGAGGTGAGTCATGCTGTACTCGCCGTTCTGTACTCGTCGTTTGCAGAGGCGTTAGGATCATTTATGATACTCGTAATAATTTTCACTAAAAATTCAGTATAGAGCTGGTTGACCATACACAAAGATGTTGCAATCGGATTTTACGTTGACTTCTACCATCTCAGGCAACTGCATGAAGCGTTTACTGTACTGACTTCTCCAAAGTTAATTGTCCTATATTCTCTTTAGATCAGGTATCAAACTATTTTTTTTGAAACGTTATGATTTGCTCACTATTAGTTTTAGACTCCTGAGCCGTAAACCGTATTATCAAAGTTAGTTAAGAGTTCGTAACTAAGTCAGCCAATCACTGACAGCTTTTCAAGCTAAACACTCCAGTCACAGACGAGGAATCTACCGCGACGTATCCTTAGGCCGCTACATTACTTACACTACTTTTAATAGTACGGCCCCAGAAATTTTCCTTTGTTTTGTCAGAAATTTTCCTTTCATTGATGACGTGATGCATGGCAGGTGGTGACTGGGTCCAACGAGCCCGTGCTGTGCCAGGTGGACCCCGTGCTGGATGGGCTCATGGCTGGGGAGGCGTTCGACGTGAGCTTCCCCGTGACCCTCGCCCCGCTCTCCCTCACGCGTGCTGTACTCACCTGCTGAAGGTGAGTCATGCTGTACTCGCCTGCTGAAGGTGAGTCACGATGTACTCACCTGCTGAAGGTGAGTCATGCTGTACTAGCCGTTTTCGCAAGCGTTGGTATCATTCATGAAACTCGCAATTATTTTTACTGAAAATTCAGTTTAGAACTGCTTGACCATACATGACGATGTTGCAAACGGAAATTACGTTTAGTTTTAACGTCTTAGTCAACTGCATGAAGCGTTTACCGTACTGACTTCTCCAAAGTTGATTCTCCTACATTCTCTTTAGATCAGGTACCAAACTATTTTTTGAACGTTATGATTTGCTCACTATTAGTTTCAGGCTCATAAGCCGTAAGCCGTACTATCTCGGGTTCTTGTCTATGTTTATTTGTTCTCCAAATATTCTTCCCGATTATGTTAGATCACCTAACCTCTGCATGTAGCTTTTTAGTTAAGAGTTCGTAACTGAGTCAGCCATCACTGACGGCTTTCCAAACTAAACACTTCAGTCGCAGACGAGGAATCAGCCGCGACGTATCCTTAGGGTGCTACATTACTTACACTACTTTTGATAGTATGGCCCCAGAAATTTTCCTTTGATTAATGACGTGATGCCTGGCAGGTGGTGACGGCGTCCAACGAGCCTGTACTGTGCCAGGTGGACCCCGTGCTGGATGGGCTCATGGCTGGGGAGGCGTTCGACGTGAGCTTCCCCGTGACCCTCGCCCCGCTTTCCCTCACGCGCTTCTTCCTCACCAGACACGAACAAGTCGATCGCAGGTCACTACGTCTTCCTGTCCTTTGCCTGTCTCGTAGGCTACTGTCTGTCTTGTAGGGTTCTCTCTGTCTCGTAGGCTACTCTCTGTCTCGTAGGCTACTCTCTGTCTCGTAGGCTACTTTCTGTCTCGTAGGCTACTTTCTGTCTCGTAGGCTACTTTCTGTCTCGTAGGCTACTTTCTGTCTCGTAGGCTACTTTCTGTCTCGTAGGCTACTCTCTGTCTCGTAGGCTACTCTCTGTCTCGTCTGCCTCTCTGTCTCCCAAGCATTGATTTATCTAGGTAGCCTCTCTCAGTCTCACGCGTCTGATTGTACAAGTTGCTTCGAGCTTTAAATTAGACTTCACTCTCAAATAAATGAATGGGTTATAGTGAAAAAATAGTAACTTATTTTCATATCCACATCAAAAGCAGAACGCGGACGTAACAGTGATATGATTAAACTAGGTCTCTATGACTCGAACAAGGGAAAGAAGAACATCGTTACTTAAACAAATCTCGCTCATTTCTGTCTGAAATTCATGCATATGTTATTGGTTTAATATCAGAACATTATGGAAGCCCGATATTGTGTCTATTTTAAAAAATAATTTATTTGTATGAAACTTCGTAGAACTTTGTAAAAGTCGCACTTGAAGCAATTAAAATAGTTTTTGATTTAATTTGTTCAGCTAGCCAAATGGTGTTGTTCTCACATTAACTGGCTCTTACATTGTTATCAGATTCGTGAAGTACTCGACAGTGACGGTGAGGAATGAGCTGCCTCCGTCCCTACCTTCTGCCTTCAGCACGGCCAGCGTCTCTTCATTACAGGTGCAGTGCCTACTCAGCCATCTGACCATTTACATCAGCACCACCAGCAGTCGGAATGTTGTCAACCATGTTGCTTTTGAACTTTATTGCTGTCTTCTCTCTTCAAGGGATCTTTCTTTCATATCGTAAATACAAAACGGTTTTCCTCAGATAACACTTCGTCAGAAGTTTCTTGGGATTTTATGTTATTAGATTTTTTGGTCCTGAATGAATTTATCTTGTGCGAGTTTATCTTGTAGCCCTGAATTTTATCTTGTGCTCGTGTGATGTGACCGCGGGTCTCAGTGGGGAAGTTGAGGCATGATTACCTGCACCTCGGTTATCTGTCCTGCGTGCGGCCGACGTCTCGTGTGAGCAGATTCTTGTCTATGTTTATTTGTTCTCCAAATATTATTCCCAGTTCTGTTAGATCACCTAGCCTCTCTATGTAGCTTTTTACCTATTATTTCTTAACTACAAAATACCAACCCTTTTTATTCCTTTTTCCTGAAACCCTCTGGCTATTTAGAACCGTGCGGCAATCGTTTTATGTGAATAATTTACTACTGATAGAAAGTTTACAATCGAGGCCTTCCGCTTTATTGGTGATGTATCATTGTTGCCTTTCGACTTGCTCTGGGGCGCTGGTAGACTTTTGGTCGTTGGAACATTTTGTTGTCGGACTTTGGACGCTGGCTGGGAAATCTAAACCTCATTACTTAAGAAATGCATCCAAAACGCCGTTTGATGCATGATATTCTTCGGTTTCACACATTCAGTATAACTCAAAGCTACGGTGTTAAGATCTGGTTTACTGTTCAGCTGACGATGAAGTGCGGCACCACGCGAGTGTCCATCAACGAGAAGGGCCTCATGGAGTCCATCACGAGGGACGGCCATCAGCAGTCTCTGTCCATTCAATTCGTTCGTTATAATGCCCGGTGAGCTCGCTTGTCACGTTGCTATAACATAAAACTTTATTTTAAATTAAACATCTTGAATATTTCGAATGTAACTTTTTTTTCTCATATAAAAATATTATTTCTTGCTTATGAGAGTGATTAATATCTGTCTTTTCGTTTGTGATTAATATCTATCTTCATTTTCTTTTGGTGAAAAAATTTTTAATTGAAATGGTCTTATATTTTAAATTGAATTGGTCATTGTTATTCATAATGTATTTAATAATAACTCATAAATGAATTTTTTCTCAGGTCCGAGCGCGAGACCAGCGGTCCGTACCTGTTCCTTCCCGCAGGCCCAGCAGAGGAGCTGGCCATATCTTCTCCCCCAACCCTGCTGGTGCAGGGGCCTCTGAGAGCTGTCCTCACTGCCAAGCTCCCTCTTCTCGCGCACAACCTCATCTTAGAGAACTCTCCTGGTGAGTGTACCTCCTAACAGTCGTGGCTTGCAGCGCTTGCAAGAGTGAGTGTGTAGTGTCCATCCTGGTAGTGGCTACTGAGGAAAGAGGGTGGGTGGTCGTAGGTCCAATTTTTTATAGGTCTGTTCATCTAAGGTTGTTTCACGTGTGCGCAGCCGCAGACCAGCAAATTAACGCTCAAATCAGCCCTGGAGCCAACATCAACCATCTAAAAGCTATAGATATTGTCATCCTGGCACCTAAGTAGCTGTAGTCAATTGACCTGTAGTCAATTGACCACACGAAATTTAAACCAACACTGCATCAGCACACAAGCTGCTACTCCACATAGTTAACGGTCAATACGTTGTTCTCCAATGCTTTTTAACCCATACAATCACTTCTTACGCATGCTGTTTTCCTAAGAGTCCGCTGACCACACTGCATTGTCGCAAATGTGAACTGTACCAAACGGTAATGCATCATCACCTTACTTACTCCGCAAGACATGAAACCCTCGTCACCGTTTCCCTGCCTTACTATCCCCCAGCATCTACCCCGACTCTCTACCTTTATCGCCATGGCTGGCTGGAGGCTTTTCTCGCAAACCGAATTAGGTTAGCTTAGGTTATGTTACAACTCGTATAGATCCTCTTTTCATAGCGTAATGCAGTCAAGTGAGCAGAAACTATGAAAATCCGTCCGGCAGTTGTTACAAAAAGGCGGGGACATGGGTAAGCGTGGAGTTAGAGTTAGGCTGGGGGAAAACAGCTGCGACGAACGGACGGGCTGGAGTGCTGGCTGTCTATCAACAGCGGTATGGCGTAGGGAGTTGCTTACCGAAAATCGTGAGGAGGTTAGACGGCATGGGATTGAGCTGTTGGGCGGTTTTAAATACGGCGTAGAGCGATTGTATTGGTGGCTTACTCCCCATTAGCTCGCTGGTTCATTTCAATGAAGGGGATTTGTACTATTGGCTTTTAACATATAATCCCTTAGTCTACTCTGCCCTTTAACTGGTTTACGAACGGAAAGGAGTATGAAAGAAATGCTGGTCTTGGGCAATGCTGGCCTCTGGCATGCATCCCAGTTTCACGACCATCACTGGCTCGCTTACCCGCCATAACCCGTTATATTGCATTAAAAACCACTAGACCAGCCAGGTACTCATCTATCAACCAGAATTGGATGATTGCTTAGTTTGCAATGAGCTGAGCTTCTCGACTGAATTTGTCTGGTATGTGACTCGAACAAACGAGTCGCTGGCTGCGAGAGGAAGTCTCTCACCACTGCACCGCGTACGTAGCTCCCGCTATCGAGAGTAAAATGCAGTTACCGCAATACAAAAAATAGTTACTAGATGGTGACTTTGTCAGCCTAAAACTGACGTCTTTCTAAGCTGAACCCACCAATCACTGACGAGAAATTGGCCGCGAAGCGTAATTAAGCGTATTTTGATGGTACGGCCATTGAATTTTAGTCAAGTCTCTTTCTTTATGCATCCCAGTTTCACGACCATCACTGGCTCGCTGACCCGCCAGAACAATTTTATTGCTTTACACAAGACCCTGGACAAGCCAGGTACTCATTTAACAACGTAAATTAGATGATTGACTTGGTTTGCAATGAGTTGAGCATCTCGAAAGAACTTGTCTTGTGTGCCTCGAACCCCCGAGTCGCTGGCTACGAGAGGAAGTCTCTCACCACTGCTCTGCGTAGCCCCCGCTATCGAGAGTAAAATGCTATACAAAAAATAGTTACGAGTTTGTGACTCCATTAACCTAAAACTGACGTCTTTTCAAACTCAACCCACCAATCACTAGCGAGAAATTGGCCGCGAAGCGTACTTGAGCGAATTTTTATGGTACGGCCATTGAATTTTAGTCAAGTCTCTTTCTTATCATAGAAAGTCTCTAGAAACATCAATAGTTTACCTCTATCGATAATTGAGGTTGAGGGTTAAGTTTCCATTCAAGTTTCATGGTGTCTTCCGTAAAAGCTACAATTAACCGAAATGTAATAAATGTAATGAAAATTCTTTTTTCTTTAGACTCCTTTATACAAGCTTGATCCAGTACTTTACTTGCAATGAACTAGTGTCTTTATCATCGGCAGGATTGGCGAGCGATGTGCTCACGGTGCGTAACTTGGTGAACATCCGCAGCACCAAGAACTATGAGCTGGCCATGAGACTTGTGTCTGATGTGGACAACGGGGAAACGTTCTTCACAGACCTCAACGGTTTTCAGGTGCGAAACTCACCCTGATGTTCGAATCAGACGGGCAAAGCAATGGGATGTGTTGCGGTTATTAGTTTTTCTGTGAGCGACGTTCTTTTAACAAAAAAACTATTACTATCGCCTCTGTGTCGTTGTGAGAAATGGTTTTTTGAAAATTAATTTTAGCTTCCATCAAGTCCGCGGATAAGTTGTCCGATGATTTATTAAACTTTGTAATTTATATATAGTATCAATTTTTAATCCATCCACATTTCAGATACTGACGTGTCAATTTCAGCTTTTGGTGTTCATGGATGTGATCTTTTATTTCATTAGAAAAATTTCCTAATTTTCTTGGCATCTTTTTAAGTCAAGGCCAACTTCACCACCCTGTTTCCTGCCACCAAACCTCAACAAACCCCATTTATTATACCTCTGGTGTCGTTCATTTAGATTGTGCGTCGTGTGCGGGAGTCGAAGCTGACCCTGCAGGGCAATTACTACCCCATCGCCAGCCAAGCTTTTATTCAGGACAGCCACAAGCGCCTTACCATCTTGACGGGTCAACCGCATGGAGGAAGCTCGCTCGCGCCCGGCCAACTTGAGGTCGCCATTCACGACGAAATCATTTTTGCATTATTCCTAAATCTGACTGAGTTTCATTTATTTTCTAGTAAACTGATTTTAAGTTCTCGTGGAGTGGTGTAAAATGTAGTGCTTTTTGTTCTTGATTTATTGTGAGTGAGATGTGCTTCGAATGGAAAGATATTACTTTCATTATTGCTGTTGATCTGTTGAAAGTGTTCAAAGGTATTGTGTAGTATCGCTCTTCTGGTCTGCGCAGTTTATTAAATTTACTCCTATGATGACGTATTATTATCATATGATTATTATTACTCAGATGTATTATTAGGTATTATTTTAGGAACAGAATGATTTCTGAAGGCATGTCAGGAGGTACAGAGGTATTGTTATCTTGGTATTTAATTCCCAGAAATGCATTGTTGGAAATAATTGCAGGTGATGCAGGACCGTCGCCTCATGCAGGACGACTTCCGCGGGGCGGAGCAAGGCGTCACCGACAACGTCATCACCCCTAACGTCTTCCGCATCTTGCTTGAGCGTCGGGACTCTGTACGAATTCTGCGTCATCTGTTACTGTTACTACTTATCACTGTCACTGTTACTACTAATCACTGTCACTGTTACTACTAATCTCTGTCACTGTTACTACTTATCGCTGTCACTGTTACTACTAAACACTGTCCCTGTTACTACTAATCACTGTCACTGTTACTACTAATCACTGTTACCACTAATCACTGTCACTCGCTCACAATCTTCTCCGCTACTGTCACTTCTGCTCCTTATCATCTCTGCCACTGTCACTCTTGCACCTAATCATCTCTGCCACTGTCACTCTTGCTCCTAATCATCTCTGCCACTGTCACTGTTGCTCCTAATCATCTCTGCCACTGTCACTGTTGCTCCTAATCATCTCTGCCACTTTCACTCTTGCTCCTAATCATCTCTGCCACTGTCACTCTTGCTCCTAATCATCTCTGCCACTGTCACTATTGCTCTTAATCATCTCTGTCAATGTCAGATATTTCAACATCCATGTTCATCATTACATTGACGTGTTAGTTGGCTGCTTGCATGCAGTCATGCTAGGCAACATCATAATTCATTAGCGTGTTTAGCGGTCCATCATTGCAGCCTTTCTCTATGATACCCTCTGCTCAGGAGCCTTACTATCAAAACTTGCTCAAGTGCTCATAGCTTCTTAATATTAGTGTAATTCGGCAGAAGTTCTTCATTTATGCAGGTTTGATTGAAGACTAGAGCATACTTCTCGTTCGGTTTATCGAAAAAAAAAACAGGAAGAAAATTGTTAATTGCTTTTTTTTTGTGCACGTAGCGGCCGATTTATCGTCTATAATTGGAGAGTTTAGCTTGAAAAGTCGTCAGTGATTGGTTGCGAGGGTCGCGAACACGTAACTATTATGTATTGTACGGCTGCAGGTGCCCGGAGCTGCAGGGGCTGTGTCGCGTAACAGCTTCCCATCGCTGCTGGCAGAGCGCGCCCTGCAGGAGCTGCTCTTCCCGCCCGTCTCTCTCCTGAACACCGCTGAGGTGGCAGACTCTCTTCATAATGAATGATGAATAGCGGTTAACATTCAACAAGAGTTACGAATTTCTCATGCATGTAAAAAAAATGTTGTTCAATTAATTGCAAGTAAGCATTGTTAGCTGTTTTTGCGAAATATTGTCCTAATAGCAATGCGCATTGTGCCTTTCTGACTCATTTTGACCCGGCGCATTGGTGCTACGTGCAAATATTTTGTCACTATTTGAACAAAATATACCATTAATTTTCCTTAGTCTATACTAAAAGTTAACCGTTGCCCTGCGTTGCAGTCGAGCGGCCTGAAGCAGACGTGGGTCGGTGGTGTGCGAGACGTGGCCTGCGACGTGCAGCTGGTGAGTCTACACTCCATACGCGGCCACGTGGGCGGGGGAGCCGCTGCTGGGGCCGCTGCAGCTCTCACCCTCCGTCGTGCTGCCTTCGACTGCTCCTTCCCTCCACCCCGTGCTGACTGCAGTACTAATGGTGGCAAGGTGAGGCTCAGCAACGTCCTGAGCCTTAATGGCTTATCTACTTGTATTCCCTCGAAGTTAGAAACTTTTTATAGGACTAGATAACAGATAGCTGAGATAACAAATAGCTAAGTTAACAGATAGCTAAGATAACAGATAGCTAAGTTAACAGATAGCTAAAATAACAGATAGCTAAGATAACAGATAGCTAAGATAACAGATAGCTAAGATAACAGATAGATAAGATAACAGATAGCTAAGATAACAGATAGCTAAGATAACAGATAGCTAAGATAACAGATAGCTATGATAACAGATAGCTATGATAACAGATAGCTAAGATAACAGCGATACAGTTGGCTTCCAGTATTTTAAATCTTTGAAAACACTCAGGCTGAGAATCCGAACTCACTCGTAAATTGTAGTTACCCCAGTCGGCTGCCATAGAGGCCTTGGTTGTTATTTAATCTCTGGATTTTTTTCTTCTCGCTTTTAATATTCCAGAGTTTGTTGGAAGCCACAACTTGTTTATTTAGGTAGCAGATATTTCATTCCATGTCAAAATATGAACCTTATCTTTGGTTGACGACACAGGTGCAGCTGAGCGAAGTGTTGGGTTCATCGTTCAGCGAAGAAGTCCGGCAGTCAACTCTGTCTCACCTCTACGCGGGCGTCAACATCACTAAATCTTTTGTGCTCACCCTTCAGCCTATGGAACTTTACACCTTCCTGCTCGCATCGCCTCCCAGAACTCCGGCCCTCCCTTAGAACCGCCCTCAGAACTCCGGCTCTCCCTTAGAACCTCCCTCAGAACTCCGGCCCTCCCTTAGAGCTTCCCTCAGAACTCCGGCTCTCCCTTAGAACTTCCCTCAGAACTCCGGCCCTCCCTTAGAACTTCCCTCAGAAATCCGGCTCTCCCTTAGAACTTCCCTCAGAACTCTGGCTCTCCCTTAGAACCTCCCTCAGAACTCCGGCTCTCCCTTAGAACCTCCCTCAGAACTGTCGTTCTTAACCATCTTTTTACGTGTGATATTACCCGCTACCAAGTCTGTGTTTGGTGTGTAAATGATGGTTAACCATCATCGCGGTTCATCACCATACACCAGGGCTACAGGCCATTCGCCCACGATCCCATCTCATCACGTGTGATATTTATTCTCTTGTGTATTAAAACCAAAAAATAAGAAGTCCTGTTATAATTTTACTTTGAAATGAATGATAATTAGAAAACTTAAATCTTGATATAATTGTTCATAATGATGACTTGTGTAATAAATTCATAAGAACAGAACTATCCGTCGCATAATAATTGCTTGTAGTAAGCTAAGCAAGAACATATCTTCTTTCTCTAGTCTGTGTTCTGGTTAGGACGATTATCTGGCATTATGAGAAGAAATTAGCTTATCATTAGCATATGAGAAGAAATTATGATGCATCTCATTCTGTGTCTAAAGACAAAATTTTCTTCGATTTTATTTCAAAATATTTGTATTTAACGTCAGTTAATGGCGAGTTACTTGTTGAATCTTGTGACTGATGATGCAGAACTGAACAGATAGCTAAGCATTCACGTTGTGAGCATTCATAGAAGTTATGAATCATTTGATATCGATGAGTGCATCATTGTTCTTGTTTGCGGTGAGAGATTTCCTGTTTTTTTCTATCTAGAGATAGAAAAATAATTTGCTGGAAATTCATTTGATGCTGTGCAGGAAAAGAAGATGCAGGTGATTGAGAAAAAAAATTTTCGACCCGTAATTAATTAGAAGAACTAACATGGAAGTACAATTCGTGTGTTAGAGTTACCTTTTTTCTTTGTTGTAGTGTAAAAGTTGCCCATCGTGTGCTGAGTTCAATATAACGTTGTTGGAAATGATGGTGGGAGTGTATAGTGATTGTTGCAGCTCAATTTTCTTACATTCCGCTGCTTTGAAATTCTCGGTTATTTAATTTTATTACAATTCCGATCTTCGTATTTAAGGCAATTCTGATATTAAGGAATCTTATCTGTTTGGCTGTTTGTGCGACGCTAATTTTAAAAATTATTGCGTCTCAAGATTAACGTCTAATGTCGGGAAATTTACGTTGTATATGCGTACGGTATTTTTCTGTTGTAGGATGAAACCTGCTCGTTTCTTTCGGCAAGCAAGCTAATTCTTATAATTGAAGTTGATTAATTCTTATCATTAAAGTTCTGTGCCTCTTTGCTGTGCTAGTGCCCTTTAACAAATTAATTGGCTTCTGATTCATTAATATGGCACATATGCGCATTTTTCCATAACAATCCGAGTCTTATCATATCCACTTACTGCCATAAACTCGTCTGTTATACAAGCTCTCTGAGTCAGAATGCAAATCGTAATCGTAAACTTTTGTAATCATTCCCATTGAGTTTCCCATGGATCGGCTTTGCAATTCATTGTTGTGTGCTAAAATTTTAACAAGCAATTTTATTATTTATGTTAAAAATAGTCTCCATCCTAGTATCGATCTTTAGGGTTACACAGAAATCTCGCCTGCCGGATCATATATATATGCTAATCAAACTTTATTTAAATTCTGTTGATAATTTCCCTGCAATTCTTATGCAGCGAATATGCTCAGTGTTACAAAATACAGAAAATGTCATCTCTTGGTAAATATTTTTCGAGTCTAAAGGTTCGGATCGTGTGGGAAAGGGAAAATTTTAGTATATTTGTTTTTATTCGCTTGCTTGGTGTGTTTAATTTATGTGGTTTGACTTGTGGCTGGGCATTAATATTCCTTTGAGTTTTCCAGTTTTTTTATCGTTTTTACCGTTTTTTTACCACATATACTTTATCGAATTATTTAATATTGATAATTTTATTTTTCAATTTAGAATTATATCCATGGAATGCAGACCAGAAAGTTCGACAAGTTGTGTCGGTGCTGTTAGTATTATTAGTGTCCCTCAGACCCGACTTGTAAATTTACCTTCTTGTCTTCTGGTCTAAAGACACTTACCCCACGAGGTCTGCTCTTACTTCTCTATTTTATCTCATCTCGTGTGAACGAAGGAAATTCGAGGCTTAAGGGGCTCGACAGGGACAAAAGTTAGCAGCCAGTACAACCTTCAAATGCTATTTACCGCCACTAATAATAATGTTATTTATTTATTTACTAATAATAATGCTATTAATGCATTTATTAATGCTAATAAATGCTATTTACCGCCCTAATAACTGCCAATATAAACCGTGCTATAGACCTCGTGTGTTGGCGCTATTGGCCGCGGATGGACCCAGTAGCCCTGTACACGAGGCCAGTAGCATAATTAGAGCTGTGAGCATTCGAAAATTGTACTGGCTGCCAATACCGTCCTTGTGTATAAGCACCCAGTATCGTCTTCAAGATTTCATTATATTGGAGACTGAACGAGATTGTGATGCGTTGAAAACAACGACAATTCCTTTTCCCGAAGGAGGTATAAACACGTCTTGCAACAACGCTGCATTAAAAGTAGCGTTACTGACACTTGGATGTCACTCGATGGCCGCCTAAGTTCCGACAGTGTTGAGTAGTTTGCTCCAGCGCAATTATTCATCTTCGATCCCATGTTCATGTCAGTATTGCTGTTAGTCATGGCTGCATTATTTCCAGTTAAGTTGCACGTTTTTGTGAGGGTGTTCCCCTTTTATATGTAATTTCAATGTAAAATTTGTTTTATATATGCTATGTAGCTCGAATAAGGGTTACCTTTGTTAATTATATTTAGTTTTTTTATATCTTATGCCTCTTTAAATTTGTTGGCAATTTGAGCACCGTGTGTCTAGTAGTAAAAGAATATGCAGGGGGTACTAATTTATTATTCTATTTTATGGTCGCATCGTTTTCTTTTGTTCAGTTTTCTCGTTCTGCACAAGATTATGATGCTGGTATTTCTACCATCCAATTCTGTTCAAGCGTGTGCTTACGTTCACTAGTAAAAACCTGGCAGCTTCTATGCCGCCAGTGTATTTTGAATAGTATTTATCGTCATGTTTATTCTCTGAAATAGAATTATTATTGTCCGACGTAGCGCCACAATGTTAGCTGTCATCGTCTTCATGTCGTGGCTGTCAGTGGTAATTTCTTCGCATTAATGAGACGGGCGTAAACTTTGTGATATTGTAACGAGGTCTGACTTGAGATCATCTGTGGCGTTATAGGTTCACGTTTGGTGTGACAATTTTTAAGAAAACTCTTCAGATTCTGAAGCCTGGTCTCATTGTCCTACGAGTCGCGTGGCTTGTCATGTACAAATCTTGCTCAATATAAGCAAAGATATCGCACTTGACCTTAGCTTTGATCTCATTCTATAAAATATTGATAACATTACCGTTTGCTTGTTATGTCGTTATAAATGATGGCACACATCGCTACCAGTACCGTTACTAGTCTCACCACTACCACTACCACAAGTCTGCTAGCTCCAAGACCACTACCACTACTAGTCTCACGACCACCACTACTAGTCTCACCACTACCACTACTAGTCTCACGACCACCACTACTAGTCTCACCACTACCACTACTATAGTCTCACGACCACCACTACTTGTAGGCACTTGACGTGCAGGAGGCAGGAGCCGCAGAGCTCCTGTAGGGGAGGCTGGAGGTTCCCCCACAGCTCCTCTCCTTCTATTCGTTTCTAATGACTATAATTTATAGTAATTATGCTCCACATTGCGTTTGTACACCGAAGGAGTAGTGAAATCTACCTAAAGATTATTATATCAATGATTTCTCAACATCCTGCTCGTTCCATTTGTTTGGATCAAAATGACAACAATGTCAGTTCTGGGTTTTTAATATTTTGGCTTTACATAATTATTCTTGGAGCTTTTAATAATTATAAATTTCGCCTCTATTAATGATATTAAATGAAATAGTCTTCGATTGAGTTTTTTTTACGTTAGCGTTTTTTCGTGACTGAAGATCATGCCTTGATACTTGACGCGTGATGCTAGCCACGATACTTGACGCGTGATGCTAGCCACGATACTTGACGCGTGATGCTAGCCACGATACTTGACGCGTGATGCTAGCCATGATACTTGACGCGTGATGCTAGCCTCGATACTTGACGCGTGATGCTAGCCATGATACTTGACGCGTGATGCTAGCCATGATACTTGACGCGTCTGCCTCGGATTGTATTGTGAAACAAATTGCTTGTTTGGTGAGACTGGACCAATTTGTTCCGACTGACCAGAGTATTGTAGCTCATAATAATGATTCGTATGAGTCAGTATCAATGAAGATGTAGGTGTTTGCATATTCAAACGATGCAAGTTCATTAGCAGGCATGGTTCTTTTCCGTGAGTTTGCGAAGTACCGGTAGTCTCTACCATACTCGGACTGTTTCTAGATCACAGTTAATAATTGATAATAATTTATTCGCATGATATGCACAGGGTTATTTATCGAAAAAATATACGAATTTTGAGAGATCTTTGACTTTGATTTGTAATCAAAATTTCGGCGATGGAAGGGGAACATTTGGCGACCAGCAGCGTTGCAGGGACTGGCAAAAACCGCACAAAAAATAAGAAAAAGAAGAAAAGGAAGACGCGAGGCGCACGCAACCATGGCTTGTGCAGAGGTCCTTACGAGTGAGTGTATTGAAAAGCTTTTCCTGTTCATTGATTACATCAGTTCAGAATTTTTATTCATAATCAGTTTGTTTTTTTTTTTTCGGTTAATCGTTCGTGTTAACACTGTACTATGAAGGCAATGCTGGTCTGTATTGTCGCAGTACCATGTCTGTATTATTCGCACCGTACTATGATGGCCATGCTGCCCGTATTGTCACTAACTGTTCGTGTTAACACTGTACTATGATGAAAATGCTGCAAGTATTGTCACCGTACCTACATTATTCGCACCGCACTATGATGACAATGCTGCAAGTATTGTCACCGTACCTACATTATTCGCACCGTACTATGATGACCATGCTGCCCGTATTGTCACTAACTGTTCGTGTTAACACTGTACTATGATGAAAATGCTGCCTGTATTGTCACCGTACCTACATTATTCGCACCACACTATGATGACAATGTTGCCTGTATTGTCACCGTACCTATACATTATTCGCACCGCACTATGATGACAATGTTGCCTGTATTGTCACCGTACCTCCATTATTCGCACCGTACTAAGACGGCCATGTTGACCGGTGTTGGCAGTGTTGCGGACTCTGTACTGCGAACGACTCCCTGGTACGAGGCGGCCGAGTTCTCCCGCTTCTGGTCGCACTACAGCGCCCTCATGTACAGCGCCCACGTGTCGGTGCTGCGACATGCCGTCTCCGCTGACCTCTGCCCCTGTCTGTCCAGTGAAAAAACCTCCACATCCAAGGTACTCGCACTGGAGAGGTTTTTGGCTTGTCTAATGTGGTTTATTGTATGGCTCAAATACTAATGGAAAAGATAATACAGGTCTCATTCGTACTAGTGAGCCGCTCTAACGCCGGTTTAATAAATTCTGATGTACCGTACTAATGCGTAATTCCAGGGTGCTGCCTTTGTTTAAATTGTTTTTATTAGCTTTAAAAATGTTTATATATAAATGACATTGATATTGAAGCCAGTGCAACGATCGCTAGCTGTGCTTCGTAATAACCCTTAATGTGACATTTTTATGACAGAGCAGTTTAGAGCGGTTCCCTAATTTGCTTGCATGGACTAAATAATACTGTTATTACTGTACGATCCATTTGTTTAAATAACGGGGAATTATTGTCTCTGATACCCTATGTAATCAGTTGCCAATATATCACGTATCAATGGGAAGGATAGAAATCAAAATTACTTTCCCTTCCTTCAACTGGCTTTGATCTGAAGTACCGTATCGATGGTCTCTTTGATAATTATGCATTATTTAATCAAAATTACTTTCCCTTCCTTCAACTGGCTTTGATTTGAAGTATCGATGGTCTCTTTGATAATTATGCATTATTTAAATGCATATTTATTAGCTTGCATTATTTATATGCATATATTCTATGAAATCAGTCTAGTAATCAAAAACTTCTTGTTTCCGATTACAGTCCCGAAAGCGTCGCAGAAGTCGGCACGGTGGTGGTGCAGGTGATGAGACCTCACCTCGCTTTCCATCCTCCAGCAAATGGCGTCCACTTTCCCCCACTCCTTTGCCTCGTCTGTGCCAGCAACACAAACTCCAGCAACGTCGCAGACACTCCAGACCTCGTCGACGCTGTAGATCTCACCGCAACGTAACAGATTCTAATAATTCGATGGCTGACGATTGTCACGAGTCCGAGACACAAGAATCGGCGAGTGAGTTGAGCTCGCAACTGCGCGGTGGTATGTCGCTCTGTGACGACCAGGAGGTGCCTGTGAGTGAAGAGTTTTTGGCTTTCATGCAGCAAACGATGCGCCACAAGCAAGAGTGGGCGTTGAAGAAAGCTGCTCTTGCTCAGAAGAATGTAGACTCAAACGCCCTCATCACCCAGCATGGTGACGAAGTTGTTCCTCGAGAGGTAATGTTGAGAAGAGGGGAATAATTATTCACATTATTTATGGAAGGAACTTTGATGATGAGGCCTTTAGAGATAAATTATGAGGAACGATTTAAATGTATTGAGATCTAACTTTTAAATAAAATGTCCAAGGGTCTTTTATTTTTCTTTAGAGCTGTTCTGTAATTCAAGCCATATCCTGTAACGGTAGTTTATCCTTGCAATAAGAACGTTTCAATTGTTTTCCTCCTGCCATATTTAAGTTTGTGTTAACAATTGTGTTGGTTCAAAATAAGCCAAATATTGTTCACAAGTTCATGAAAGACCGTATTTTCTCCCGACTAGGAGCACCCTGACGCCGTCAGGAGTCGCGAGATGCGTGCGCTGTACGGGGAGGCGGCACCGCAGCTGCACGCCATGGAGACCGCCGTGCAGCTCGCCTTTGACCGCATCGCCACCCGCCACCACGCCGCTGTATGGCCCAACATCCCCTTGAACGTCATCTTCTCTGACCAGTAGCTGCCATCACGCCGCCGTATGGCCCAACATCCCCTTGAACGTCATCTTCTCAGACCAGTAGCTCCCGCCACCCGCCACCGCCTGACTCAACATCCCATTTAACGTCATCTTCTCAGACCAGTAGCGGTATAGTGGCTCAACCTGTTCTGCCTATAAATTCATATGTAGTCGAGGTTCAACTCGTATCAATTCGTGGCTTACTCAATACCGTGCATGCATTCATTTGATCTCCTGTTTTACTGATGGCAGGGTCATCGCTTACTAAATACCGTGATACTTCAACACGAGTTAATTGATCCAGTGATATTTCATCATGAGTTATTTAGTCCCGTGATACTTGATCCTGATTTACTTCATCACGTGATTGTTGGTCGCGTGTTACTTGATTATGTGGTACATGATCACAAGGCATTAGACTGCGAAATATTTGGGGTCGAGGTACTTGACTATAATAAAATTAATCAGGAGATACGCGATCACGTGATAAATTATATACAAGTAACTTCATATTTGCACAAATTTGCAGCTTGGAAAATAAGCTCTGCCGGAGTCGAGTACAAACTCTCTAACATGTTACTTATTGGACGATGTGGTTGAACGGACTCGTTGCATGATTTATTTTATTGCTTTCAAATGCATTTGCATGAATTGGGATTCTTGTGCTCCACGCCAATTTTCCGAAGAATGACGAACTTTTTTGGTTCACGTATTAACAAAGGAATTATGTCGAGAATAAAACGTGTATTGAACGTTGAAAAACTCTTGTTTTAAAATTGAGGATTTCTCAAGTGTATTCATGTTCATGCTTTGATGGGCAAGATAATAGTGAAATGCTTTCACTAACTTGTACACTTTGCTACAAATGTTGTCACATCATCACAAGTTTTCTTAGAGGTCCCGAGCTTATCATATTATTAAATTAATAAGATCTGTGTTTAGTGTTTCAACCCATCATTTCATTGCCATAAATACTTTTTCTGAAGATGTTCATTGTTTTCACGCTCAATCTATTGCATGTGGGAAGTTACCGGTATCGGTATTTATTCATGGCAATAAATACTGTAATATCTTCATATTGGCAGTATACGTTCATTAGATACTCGAGATCGAAGGCTAATGACAAATATGTACACAAGAGACGCTGTTGCGCGTCGTTTTCACGACCTCGCCGGGTTTATTGACATTTGCATTCGCCGAAGAATGCTTGCCCTTTAATTTTATACTCCATCAAATGACGTACTTAAATCATTTGATGACTTACGCTGGGACAAGATAAGAGAAAATTCCTAAATAAGTGCGACTCATTAAGTAGTTAGTGCCTTTGAAGTGGCTGCTGGATCGTCATTAGTGCCCTGAAAGCGAGAAAAATTACCATTCAAGTCGCAATGAAGATGCAAGGTCGCTGCGGCGAGATGAAGGATGTCGTCTCTCTAGTTAACGTCTATTTTTGTTCACGATGAATACAAATTTATTTGAGCGCTGTCTTTTGTGCGGAAAAAACTAGCATTGACGTTGAAGCAATGATACATTTGTACATGCAAGACTTTGATAGAGTTAAGCTTCGGAATGTTTAATGTCAATTTCATTATATCTGCTACGAAAGGATGCTTCTTAAATAAGTTCTCTCGGTGGTTCTCAAAGCGCGATTCATTAGTCGGATTCTTGTAAACACCAGACGATGATCTCACCTCATCGGCAACGAGCTGGGCTCTCGAGGCCTATCGGCAAATATTGCAGGCCTCCTCACATTACAGCGACTGCCACAGCGCTCTCTCATCATCACACGCCAGGAAATTAGCACGAGCTTCCCGAGACCCGGGATGTAATCACCATTAGGCTGATGAAGCTCTCCCGTACGTCATTCTCTGTGTCTGTTAGTGACTATTACCTCGACGCCTCGACCTAACATCGGTGACATCTGGGCTTGTGTTCGAGCCCAGTTTGCGATCCAGCACTCAACTTGCAAGAAGATAATCGCTCTGGATTTATGTTCTGGCCAAGGTCACGATCCACCTCCAAACAAGCGGGAGCCGGGTTAGGTTAACGCCGCGGACTTGCGTTCGAGACCAGCTTGCGACCTGCCATGAAGATCAACTTTCAGGACTTGCATTTCACCCCAGGCCGCGACCCAGAAGTTACCATTCGGAAAATTATCGCAGGTTCTCGACTGTACCGGCCTCAACTGAATTCACATCTTCCAAGAGTTACCGCGATCTGCTGAACTTTCAGCACAATTCTAGTTTCGTGGTGTGAATCAGGTTGAAAAACACGACGCTTCGAAGACATTTATTTTATGAATATCTTGAATGAGGCTACAGAAAATGCTTTCTAAAACTTGCTGACATGCCGTTTCTTGCGCTGGATGCATGCCGTAATGTGCCCGTTTGCTTGATTACATAGATCTTGTTTGCGTATCATTAGTACAAATTTTTAACTCCTGCAAAAATTTGTTACGAGAAATAACCATAGATGACATTCTATTGTTATTTAAGAATAGAATAAACCTTATTGCAAAGGAAAATGTTTAATTTGCCCTCTTAGATTTTAAACCTGACACAATCATACCTCGATGGCGAAAATATCAATTTCTGTACAGAATCCTTCATTGCGGTGATACATTAATCAACTTCTTTAATGAGTAAATAGTTAAAGAAGGAAATAACACTGATACTAGGAAATAATATCAAATGTTAATCATCTTGGTGAGACCTTTCATCATACGAGTCTCAACACGATGATCAAGTTGAAATTAGGTAACAGCGATGAAATCACAGAAACAAGTTATTTGATATTGGAACGCAAGTAACGTTCAGCACGAAGAGAAATATCCTTCGAATCCATCTCATTTGCAGCATCGACGAAGCTTTTCATTTGCCTGATCTCGTTTGATCTGAAAGTCAATGCAGGCTGATCATGACTTATCAACTCGAGGTAATGGACGATGTCGAGTGCACGGATTAAACATATTTGGCATGCAAGGTTTTTTTAATTTCTACTAATACTGTTTGAGGTTGGGTGCAGGAAATGACTAATGAACATTGATATTTCGAAAGAAAATTTCTTTCTAGCGACGCCGTGCATCATGGATTCTGATTGCCTTGCACTACACTGCAACAATTTGCTGTTATGATAGAAACTCGCAGCCATTAATTTCAACGCTGTTGTGAAACGAAATATCAGTACTTGGTTGATCAGTTGGCGCCCATTTCCTTTTGAAATGGTAACAATGAACGAGCCTTCTCTTATGCCTCTTTTAAAGTTATTCCCGAATGACTAGATAACCCCGTTGATCAATCATGTTTCACGTTAGATGTATCCTATTGATCGTCTGGAAGTGTCTCCAATATCTTATAATTCTACAAGAACACGGCTGTTATTAAACGATATTGTTAGTTGCTTGTAATTGTTTGCAAGTACCGGTAGTTGTCAAGCATGAATTAAGATTCATTTATTCGGTTTGTTCTATTGATTGTGTAGAACTTATTTCGGAAATTGCTTTCAGTAAGATATAGACATTTACAGGTATAATATACCTACTCGCAAACTCAGCAAGATTCGTGGGCCGAAATGTACACCTACTTTCAAAACTCGACAAGTGAACGTAAGTACTTACGCTCAATTTTCACGTCCATGATTGGTAGATTTTGCTTAAAAGGCCGTCAACGATTGGTTCATGAACATACGATCTCTTTACTTTGTTTGAAAGTATAGGCCTAGCGCTGCAGCGGGGCAAACAATTCACTTAAATTCTGTTTACAACGCGTTAAAGAAAGTGATAATTTAAAGCTTGAACCAACGATTTCTGTATTGAACCTCACTAGGTATAATTCAATTGTATGAAGAATAACTGAGCGGTAGTAGTCATAGAGCCTTGTATGAAGTTAACGTGAAGACCATGAGCGCTTCGAAACTAAAGTGACAATTAAAGGACGCGAGTGTCTAATTTACTTACGCCATCGTTTACTCTAATGACTGCAATTAATTTCCATTGAGATTACTTGTTAGCAGATACATAAATGATCCTGAGTCCAACGACCGCAGCTCATTTGGATTTGGCAGAATTATTGCACTCAAAGTCAAAGAGATAAATTATAAACGAACTTAGGCTAGTGTTAGAAAAACATATTTTAATGTTTTAAAAGGGGATGTTAGTTTCCAACGTAGCGATTTGTTTTTCGATCAAATTTTGAAGTTCTTGTCTGCATTTTTTACCTTTACACATCAAGATCAACTGCAACGAGCTGCGTTACTATATTTAGCCTAAACAGTGAAAAATATTAAATTTATTTAGACTAATCTAGAATTGAGTATCTTGAAACAACATTGTAGTCTTTAAATGGCCATATCTGATGCCGCATCACTGGGAAAGCACCGAGGTTCTTGATGCGTCGTTACCTGAAAATTCCTTGCTGGGGCCTATTCCAGTTGAGCAAAATCCTGCAGCGAAGGATCCTGGCGCACTTGAAGACCGAATACCTGTGTTGTGAACAGGTGTCAGCGGTCGTACAGGGCCGCTGGGAGGAACGAACCGCGCTTGAAGTGCCAGGAGTGACAGCATAACTGCCAGTAGTGCAGGCAATTTGTCACCTGCTGCAACTGTCAGGGATGAAGAGTCGATTTTAAGAAGACCAGCACATAGCTACTGCAGCCAGACTGAATAAATGAAGCTAAAAATTAAATTTTGTTGTACATTTTTATCGCACCTATGCTTATCTTCAGCTCGAGTTATGCCACAATGGCCTTATTTTCTGTCACAATTTTGAGTAATATTTCTGGCAAGGGAGAATTGTAAACAGGCTATACGTAATTTAAGTAAGTTTAGTTTAAGTAAGTTGAACAGGCTATACGTAAGTTGAGAATGGTCATTTTGATAAAACACAACCATCGTCCGACGTACTGAACAATAAAAACGAATTCCTCGGTTGACAATTCAATTGAATACATTTTATAATCGATGTGATGCCGAAATGAAAACAAAAAGTCAATTTAAAACTGCTTTTAAATCATCACAGCTCTGGCTAAAGTAGTAGCATGTTATTTTGTTATGAAATGTTTAAGAAAATGAATCAAATGTTGTTGTGTTATGAAATGTCTTGAATGTCTAAGAAGACAACAACAAGGGAACTGAAATCTGCGCGTCGAAAGAAGTTTCCAGCAACGTTCAGTTTCGTTCATCATAAATGGATACTAAATCGCGATATACTCACCCAGTTCTCCCGACGAAAACTGAAAATACTTCCTGTCGTTTGTTCTTGACCCGGCGATGGCGGTGGAGCTAACAGTTCTGTCGGGGGTGGCGCGCTCGCTCTGCTGCGGCGGCCGGTCTTCTTTGTCAGCAGAGACGCTGAGACTGGAGTTCGTACCTGATGAAGATGGAGCTTTGTTCTCAGTCATATGAGAAGAAATAGAGGAAATGCTTGTGACAAAATACGAAATAAAATCGTTAAAAAATGTTTATCGTGTACCTGAGTAGGACGAGACGAATTACTAAAAAATTGATTTTTTGGCCAAATAACGAAATAAATTACAGGTTCATCGAACAAAAAATAATGAAAATACGGAATATATTTTCCAATACAATAAACAAACAATATAAAAAATATTGAGAAAGTGACCATCACTTTTTTGTGGCTACTTAATGCTGTAAAACTTCTAGCTAAAGACAAAGTTTACTAACAAGACAGAGCTAGAGTAAAGTTCGGACAGAAGTAACTTAAATATTTGCATCATCACAATTATAGAAATTAATTAGTATAGCTTCAGCACCCATGATTCGACGGCCTGCTCACCGTCTCTCCAAAGCAGATACTCTTCACTGTAGGGATGGTACATCCCCTGGTCCATGATACTATCCGAGGTGCCCCGAGGTGTGGTTATGGTGGTTGTTGTTGTGGTGGTGGTGGTTGGTGCAGGTATCTCTGGATAACCAGGTTAGCAAATAATTAAAACCAAAGTAATACCTAGTTTTGGTCCGATTTTACTCACTAACTTGATATCAACATCTGCAGCGACATACATAAACAACTTTTACATTTTAACTTTTAAATTAATGTTTTTATATATTCCCGATACTGCATATTTATTAACTCAAAAATAAATCAATGATGAAAAATTTTCATTATGGCGAGGAGTGAATAAGCTAATTAGATACAATCAGTATGGTAAAGTTCCTAATTTTCAGATTGTACAGTAAAACTGATCGCTTAGTTATCAAAATATTCATATGGTTGCTGGTTTTTTACAGCACTTCTCTTCAACTTCACTTCTTGTTGTTTGTTTGTTTGTTTGTCTGCTACAAATCTTATAATCGATATTTAACACACTTCTACCGCTTCAATCGATCTCAAATTTTGCACACATATGTAAAGTTGGAGACAATGCAGGAATCAATTGACAGAATAAATAATTTTGAAAATTTCAAAAAAATGTTCAATATTAAAAAAATTAGTAAAATAATTTTCTCTGCTACAAATCTTATGATCGATAGTTAACACACTTCTACCTGTCCAATCGATCTGAAATTGTGCACACTCGATTAAAGCCAGAGACAATACATTAATCAACTGACAGAATAAATAATTTTCAAAATGTAAATTTTTTCGTATATATTAAAAAATTTACATTTTTTTTTAATATTTGAAAATAAAATTAGAAATTCATTGTACACGTGTAACATCGGAGACACTGAATTCTTTGGAAGTGTTGTCTTTAAAAAGAAATTTTCAAACGCATATTATTATGGCTCACCATAGATAAGAATGCTGTCATTAGCGCTTGCTAAGGTGCTGTTGGCAAAGCAGTGGTAGTGCTGGAGATCTGTGCTGCTCAGCACTGTCACCATAAGCCATGCCAGGTCCGTGGTGCTGTTGATGCTACTGGTGCCACTCACTAGCTGAGGTTGTTTCTGTGCGGGAGAATGTCGTGATTTGAAATATTGCATCGGAGACAGTCTCGTTTCTGACAATTGCTATAAAGGCTGGTTGTCGTTAGGGTGAGAGGGGCTGCCTAGAGCAAACACACATTTAAAACGTAGATATTATTGATGAAAATCAAGATAATGACAAAGCGATACTCAATATTTTTCTCATAACCGCCTTCAAAGCTAACACTGAAGTTGCGATAGTTAATGAAACATTACGGGACAGTTCCGTATACTTTAAATAAGATTACAGACAAGATTAATCCTCCATTATAATTTTCCAGCGTTGGCAGGTTAAATGATTTCATAATTTCCCGAATCAAAATGTATAAAGAATTTTTCTAGGTAGCCAGTTTTGGGTCGAGTTGTTTATTTTCAGAGATTTCACTTTCTGTCTCGACGCATTATGAATTAGGGATTAAAATTGTTAACTTGGTGAAATGTAGCGCTCAGCGCACACCATATTTTGTATCCTCATATCAGCAAGAGAGTCAAGAACTACCAATTCGCTCATGAAAAATTAGCAACTGGTGAATAATTTCCTGCATGAATGGAAAATATTTTGAAATACTTGACTGCACTGCATTTGCAATTTGAGTTCTGAACATCGGGGACTAACTTGAATAAATTTATTTTTACTGCTGACAATTCATGGAATATTTTCTTGTGATATATTCTTTTCAGCATTAAGGAGTAATGCAGGAGCACAACTTTCTCTTCAGAAGCACAAATTATTCAGTTGCTGCGACAGGTTTCTCGCCCGAACCAGAACCGCGACGTCACAGATACCGCGTAGGTGCGCTTTATAACAGACTTATTCTTCAGGGTCATTTTTTACACATCGATAGACTGCTTATTCTCCGTCAATACTGTTCGATCTCCCTCATTTCGACGAGGACGCATTCTGGCATAAATACTATTATTTCTACATTATTACATTCGTTTTAATAATTTATCAAGAGTTATTACAAAACGTTTCATACATTGTATGACTTGCTGCTACAGTGCGTGTGTTATGCTTAATCTTCAAATATCTTTTCGTGGATACACAAGTAAAATATAAGATCCTAATGCGTTGAGTATCACATTAATATAAACGCAGAGGGGAGCAGAGCGTCTTCAAGTGAAGGTAATACAATTTTTTTTAATATTTGAGGGAAGCTTATTATCTCGTTAAGTTGAATGGAGTCGAGTCTATTTGCTAGATTAATTTAAAATTTAAAGTGGACAGCATTCGCTAGTGGTAGGTTTAACAAGCCTAAGGTTTAGCTAACCACGGACGGTTCCATCTTTGTTAATTATGGATTAGTTTTTAAATACTCGCATTATTCGCCGTGAAAAAAGGCGCTGAGTCAGTAAATTCCATGTTCTGCGCATTTGACATCCTGCAAAAAGGCAGAGACATTGCAGTTATTCAATATTCCTGTTTTATTATCCTGCAGAAGGCTCAATGCATCCCGTCATCCGAGCAGATTCCCACCAGCGACTTTTCCGCGAGTTTAAACAGAGGATTTCTGTGTCGCTGGACGCAGGCAAAGGCCTTTAGTATTTCCAGCACGGACATGACCTGAGATAAGACTAAACAGCCTGGCCCCGGGAGGGAAACTGACACTGCGTCGCATGCACACAAATTAGTCACCGACCAAGAGAAGAATTTTGCCCGACAATTCCAGAGATTTTTTTGTATAAGCGGGGGACTATACTCTCTGAGGAATCGAGTTTGCGATCAAAATCCTATGAATTCAGACGTGTTACAAGGTCATGGTTCGACTGCAAGCATAATCACGAGTCTTATATCATTCGTACAATTAGTCTTTGACGGACAAATCGAAAGCATCGGAATATGCTGGAAAATTACAAGCGGGTGTTTGTAATGTCTTCCCCTCACGAGTGTTACCCTTGACCATGCTACAAGAAAACTCGCTGGGTCTGTGAGGTGAAGATTCAAAAGTTTAGCGAGAAATTACACGTCTTATTGTGCGTGCTCAACAGTAAATTGGCGCGCAGCTCCGTCCAGAGCACAGGATTTCTCAGGTTCTAGAAAAAGCTTTACAAAAAACGGGCGTAACCTTCATTTGAATTCAAGTCTGCGAGCTTGGAAACTTAGGAATGTTTCAAACTTTCGAATAGGTACAAATTTTTGGACTACGAATGACACTTCAACTTGGTGCCAGGTAAACATTTGTCAACGAATGAACAAAAATCGCAGAGCTTAGACAGGCAATTAAAAACGTTCGTTTGCTTTTGGAATGTAAATATGACCTCTGTTTTTCTCTCATACTGTCACTAATATAAGAGCTTGACAAGCTAAACAATAAACTCCTATTCAAGACAGTACGAACATGAAAAGGAATCTTAATACGAGACTCTAAAACCATCGCCTTTTGCCTTGGCAATCCTCTAGACATTCAGAACAAAACGTACCTAATGTTAATGACTCACGTCTTCTTCGGGGATGAAGCCAGAACTTATGGAGTCCAGGGCTCGTTGGTGTACGTCAAGCCTCTGTCCAGCTCGGTTTGTCCAGTAAACGCTGGGCTTGGGCCATCCCGTCACGACGCACGAGACGTTGGCCTCCTGGCCCATGATGGCTCCTTCCATGCGTGACTGCGCAGCGGCCTCGGGCCCAACTATATCAGGAAAAAATGGTAAAATATTTCAACAGGGGAGACATGGATGCAGGGTCAGGGATGAGGCCCCAGGACACGTGTTTAGTCAATGCATGGGTGCACAAAATATCAGATTGCCCGCGTAGGCTTTAGTAGAAGAACAACGGTCGCAAGCACTGCCGCACTAACGGGCAAGAGCTGCACTCACGAGCTACAGCTGCACTCGCTAGCTAGAGCTGCACTCGCGAGCTACAGCTGCATACACGAGCTACAGCTGCACTCACGAGCTAGAGCTGCACTCACGAGCTACAGCTGCACTCACGAGCTATAGCAACAGAGAGCTGGACTCACAAGCAACAGAGAGCTGGACTCACAAGCAACAGAGAGCTGGACTCACAAGCAACAGAGAGCTGGACACGTTGAGACACTGGAGGAGGGACGCCGTTGTTGGCGATGCAGAGGTAAGCGCCCGCGTGCTTGCGGTGCGTGCGCGTGAAGATCAGGCGGCCGTCGTCCGTCACCGGTCCTGTAACGCGACATTATTTCTCTATCAAATTCTAGCCGCGGCTTGTGATTTTGGGGTTCAAAAAATGCTTAAAATAAACAAGCGGTCTTATTTTTTTATTATTCGTAGACGGAGTCGATAACGAAGCATTAATTCTCCATCATCTTTAACAAGAAGTGTTTTTGGGTTCGATTCACGCGTGCATTGCATAATTTAGAATGTAAAATATCTACAAGTAGATGACGTATTACGATGACTACAGCTAGAGGAGGGCTATTAAAGCTCCATGACCTTCACCAGCAACGCGTGATTTTTTTAGGCCCGATATCCTTGTATATATGTAAACGTATCAACAAGTTAGCGTTCTAAGATGTCGGCCCTGATGTTAAAAAGACTATTGTGAACTTCATTTCCAGTCATCATACTTCCGTTACGATGTTTGAGGATTTACATTAGAATTAATCGACACCAAGTTGTGAACAAATACAATCGAGAGGAAGGGTGTTTATCAATTTTGTTTGCTATATGTAGCTCCTTAGTCAAGTATTGAGACAAGATGATTCCATAATACCACTCCATCGCAGAGTTACAGAGATAAACAAAATACTACATGAATAAACTTGTATAAATAAATAATCTGTAATCCTCGTGTACTCAACGCATATTTATTCAATTTCATTCCCCTTTAAATTGAGTTTCGTATTGGGGTTTTATAATATTGCTTTTACACCGTATAGCATCAATGATATGGTACGCCTAACGACTCTGCCCTCGCAAGATCGCTGGAATGCTAACGAGCTGCTCGACCATCAGATAACTTGGCCAAAACCTTCCCCGTAAAATACCCCACAGTTACACTTTTAGCTTCGATACCGCTTGGAATTCTGCAGGGAAAGGAAGGGTTATTTTGGGCAGAACTTCGTGTGTGGTAAATTTCTGGTTTTTGGAAGGAGAGAAAAACTCTGCGCATGCTCGGACTAGGGCAGATATAGAATGAGGGCGATTAAATAACTTTCATATAAAATATATAAATAAGTAACAGTGGCCTTCAGTGAATACTACAGAGATCAACCCTCATTCCGGATCTTACATCAAACATCGCTAACAAAAATGCATCGACGCAGTCAAATACAATGAAATTCTAACTTAGGGAGGACAACAAAACTAAGCATCTGTGATCTGTTTACAGGTGCTTACAACTTAACCAACTCACTCGCCCGTGACTTCTTGACTTCACTCTTCAACTAACTTCTCTAACCTGAGGGTTTAAGCAAACAGCCGAGGGTTTGAACAATGACCAACCTGTGCCCTCGAGGGTGCTGATGAGTTCCCCATCCTCACGGCGCCATGTGAGGGTAGGCGTTGGAGTTCCCTCAGCCGAGCATCTGAGCTCAGCGCGGTCGCCCTCCACCACGTGTACGTCTCCCCCACTGCCGGAGTCCAGGATGCGAGGAGGACCTGTTCAGCGCGCACACAAAACACGTGCATTCAATCACGGCGTCGCACGCAAAATAATTCTCGTAGTATCTAGAGTTAAAATAAAGTTGACTAAAGTCCATGGTCTGTTGAGTAACAATAATTATTCTCCATGTCCGGATTGAATTTTTCCAGCTTCTGTTAATTATGCCGAAGTTTTTGAGATGCGAGTGCTCATAAAAATGAGGTATTATATTTTTGTTACCGTGTAAAATCTAATTCATCCCACACTTGGGAATGACAGTGAACGTATTATTTAATTAATGAACACACATGACAACGCAAATGATCAGGATAATGTTTCAATAACAAAACTTCAGTCTGCCACTAGGCGGGACTAAATCCAAGCACGCGTTGCTGCCGTCGGCTCCGCGCACGCATTGCCTTCTCAAGTCGTCCTCGACCGAAGTATTTTTGCCGGGAGCTCGTTAGCGCGACTCTAATCTTCAAGCCTAGCCGATCTTTTGATGCAAGGAATCGCATGTTTACAATAGTTCACTTTTATCGTCGAATAACGAGCGCGGATGTCCTTTCCCTCTCATAATTTTTGTAATCTCGTTAGCTCGCGCCCCGCACTATGGATTCTTAACTGGAAGATATTTGCTTGTCCGTGACCAAGTGGAAAAAATGCTGCGGCATGACAAATGCGCTTTCCAATTATCACATTGATATTTCTGAGTAAAAGGAACATCAGGCTATGAAAAAACTAAAATGAAAATATTTATCATTCGTATACATAATATCTAGTACTACTTAGATTAGCCGTTGGGAAGTTTAAACAACGGAGCATTATGCGACCAGGATTAAATGCGTTTTTCAAAACTGACATACGCATTGAAAGTCAATTGTGAAATAAACGTTAAAAACTTTTAATGAAATTTCTTATAGAAGTTTTTTTCAGACATCAGAGATAATGAAGATTTTTTTTCCAGACAGCCAGAGATAATCTAATTAAAGATAGATATCGATAAGGAAAAAGTTTCCAAAGTTTCTACTGAGTGAGTGACGTGAGATAATGGAAGATTGGCCCCGAGATCCTGACACTGACTTACGCAGGCTCTTCCAACCGCCGCATCGCTCAGAATAAATTAAGGGACCACGACACGGTTATGGTCGCACGACATTCAGGTTCAATACGGGGCGATCTGCTTTTGATGCGACTCGGTTATGGCCGTGAGATTGCCAGGAACCTCGTGGCAAAATAGCTATGTTATCAGCGAATTTACCTTCAAGTTCTCAGAGGATAATATTAAATGATGTAACAAAACTTTTTTTCAAAATAGAGAATATAAAATAAGATATATGTCAACAAACATGGATATGTACTCATTATTTCTATGAAAAGAACAACAAAATTAAGCCACAAAACGAAAAAGTATCCTCCCGCCGTGATCATAGGAGTATCTGTCATAGAGAGGACGCGGCCTTGAAGGCATAATGCAATCACCCGGAAGAAAAATATGCGATGGAGAGTTAGGAGGGACGGCAAGAAGCGGAAGTTGGGCATGATCTCGGTATATTGCTGGCTTAAAAGGCCCCCCGAACCTGTGAGATACGCGAGATCTCACAAAAACCGGGCATTTCCATTAGAAAGCTTCGGTAGATAAATAAGACTTGGGATAATATGGAGCTACAGGAGAGAGTGGGATTTGGGGGAGGCCAAAACGCAGGACCGCGGAACGAAGCATAAGGAAACTCCATGAATTTGAGATGTGGGGCCACCAAAGTTCTGGAAGATTATTGAGGGACCTAAAGAAATGACTAACTTGTTAAGCTTCAGAGACTCGAGGATGAGTTCGGCGAGAGAAAGAAGTAAGTCTGAGGATCAGTATTAGCTGGACGTGAAGTAGCAATTGCGCAACTTAGGATAGAACTAAAAATATTTAATAAAAATCAGTATTGAAAAGAATAATCATTGACGCAAAAATTACGTTGCATAGAAACATTTATTTTAATGCTCGGAAAACGCAGAATTGGTTGTTTTTTCTAAACATGAAAAGAACCAAACAACAACAATTGTTCATAAACTTAAGTCCATCATATTTCGTGATGACCACGGCGACGTGCGACCTGCACGTAACACGTTATGACGGATAGAATGGTGCATAAATTGTCGTATTCAAGATTCAATAATTAAAAAATGTCAGTTACAAATTTATAAGGGCAGTTTTAGAGAAGTGCCGGTTCGTCCATGATGTAAGCTTCAATCAACAGTTCAGGTTTCACGGATAATGAAACTCATCATTATATTCGTGATTGCTTATAAAATGATGAACTTATCATACGATAAACCTCTAAAGCTCAGATGCATAAAACATAGGCTATTGGTGCCTACCGTTCTGACCATCAAATTTTTGCTCATCAAGCTTCGTTGCGTTATGCGTATCTCCAAATCAATTCGTTCACTTTATACCATCAATGCTCACGTGCATGAGTGGCTGTCATAGTTGTATAGTTCCATTCATTTGACACGAAGATCAAGTTACTCACGGACAACAGAAAGCACGAAGATCTTGCTGAGTCTGGGCACAGTGTTGAGCTGGCACATGTAAGTTCCAGCGTCCGACACGACCACGTCTCTGAGAGACAGCAGCCAGGAGTCGCTCGAGCCTCTGCCAGCGATGTGCATGATGGAGACTCGAGGGTTGCCCGTCACCACGTTCTCCTCCATACTCAGGATCACGCCTCGGGCTCGGTCCAGCCACGCCACCTGATGAACGGGCAGTCGAGTGGTCAATGCTTTAGAAAATAGAAGTTGAACAATGACATCCCAGATAAGCCTTTTGCTTTGATCGGTGTCACCATCGGATTCACAGGGACAACAGTTTTATAAATTTTATCGTACGCAAGTTCTTGTCATTCCTCAGGCACGGTGCAGTCAAGCGCATGCTTGGCTCAGTAATAAGGCACGGTTCAGTATCCAAAGAAAATGAAAATGGATTGAGAGAAGAATAATGATAATATTTAAATAGAATAGAATAGAAGTGTCGGCGTTGAAGAAATAGGCCCATGGCCTGTTGCCGATTCTTGAACTTTTCGTGACTTGATTCACAAGGGATCCNTAACATAATTAAAGGGACTTCAACAGAAATGATGTTAGCATCACAGAAATTATACTGAAGTATAATTATTAATTATACCAAAGGAATTTCAGGAAATTATACTGAAATACAATTATTAATTATGCTGAAGGAATTTAAGGAAATTATATTGAGGTATAATTACTAATTATACTGAGGGAATTTCAGGAAATTATACTGAAGTATAATTATTAATTATACTGAAGGAATTTCAGGAAATTATACTGAAGTATAATTATTAATTATTTGAAGGAATTTCAGGAAATTATACAGACGAATAATTTCCTGGAGTGATCGATTGTCGTTCGAACATCACAGAGAGAGGGCTGTGCTGATGACAACAAATGAGTGACACGAAAAAGTGATGAATGCTGCAGGCGCCTGCAGAGCCTCATCAAGTAATGACGCTGAGCCAGGATAAGCGGCATTTTCGTTCCCGAAATTAGATTATTCTTAATCGAAATATTACATTTCATCAGATCTAATTAGGTGACTGTGTTGATGCGTGGGATATTGTCAGAAACAAAACTATTGGACAATATTCAATTTTACGGTCATGCGTACCATTTATCGTCTTTCAAATACTAAACCTGAGTCCAATACTCCAACTGATTTCATGCTATTCATCAGAACTTAAATTTGTTTAGGAAGCAATTACTTGTGTCACATTCCAACGAGTCTGTTTTATCATCAAAAACTAATTGCAGGCATAACTAGATCATTTCTCGGGTTAAATAAGACCATCTTAGGGTCTGATAAAGACTGTCACGGGTCAAAGTAATATAATCATAGCAGAAGATTATCTTTTGCCAGACAAGAAGATCTTTTCTGATAAAAGAAAACAATCTCTTGAAATAAAATAATACATTTCTTAAAATAAAATAATACATTTCTTGAAATAAAATAATACATTTCTTGAAATAAAATAATATCATCCCTTACGGCAAAAGAAGACAATCTATCTCTTATATTGCAGAATATGCATATCTTTGGGAGAGATGCGATTGCAACCATCTTAGCAATAATGAATATCACTTTTTTGTCAAGAAGAGACCTATCCATTAAGATGTAGAAGACCATCGCGAGATAGTCAGCTGCTCTCAGTCTGCTATTTGTCTCGAGCAAGACTCCTCCCTGTACGCATCTCGCGAGCTCGTTTTTTTGCGCCGAGTGTTGGTTGCGAGTGCCAGGCTGGCTTCGGGTGAGTAGCTTTCCATTACGCCAGCTCGCCGCAATCAGTCAGTGACTGGCTATTGGTATAGAGCTTCTGCCTCACTATCGCAGCCACCGTTCAAATTATTCACAATAAAGGTCTACCAATCCCGTCTTCAGCAACTGTTAAAGAAGAGCGTATGAAGAGACTAGCTACCATTTCCAGCTCATGTAAACTTTCAGGCTGCAAAGAGCAACTTGTTAAAGAGCTTACGTATTAGCGAGGCTGCAAGCGCAAGAAAAGTCAGCTATAATAAGGCCTGGCGTGGGTTGATCAAACAAACATTTTTATTTTGCGAATAAATCTTGTAACAAAAGCAACGATGAAGCTATCGCATTGGAGCTGGAATATAAATTTGTTCTGAAGACTTGAATATCGGATGACCTTTTGAAAATTGGAGGCTGAGTAAACGCAACAGAGTAAATTTACAAAACATAATTACGAATTTAACACATATAATAGGTCATTATTCGCGAGATGACGAACTGCTTATGTATTTTCCCACCGACTACTGACGGCGCCGCCATGTTTACACATTTCCAAACGAGTCTGAGGATAATTTTGGTTCAACATCACAAATTTGGTGGCCAACCTACGAAGCGATGCGACGCCGCGGAGGCCTGGACCCGTCACCTCATTTGGGTTTCTTTCTCAGGAGTCCCACGGCCTTTGTGGCCACGGTAATTGCCCAGCAGGGTCACGCATTTATTCCGGGTTTTGGGGCCGCTTGGCAACACAGTAATGCTGCTCATAAATGGTGGGAGTGTGAGGCGGCGATGCCAGGGAACGCTGTTGTGCGATGTCTGAATTACTCGTGATGGAAGTGAGCGAGAAATTGCAAGCCGAGGAATCATGTTATCTAGCGCGGGCGGTTGCAGAATACTTTGAATTCTGAATTTTTAAACGACAAAGAATAATAATGCTAGTATTCATTAGCTATAGTTTCTAGTAATAAAAGTTTTACAATTATAGTCAGGAAGAATTCATTTAACAATTTCGTACGTTATTCTGATGGGTCTGAAATGTTGCAGGTGACATGCAGTCGGTGATACACTAATTTTAAGAATACTGAACTAATTTCTGGTGGAAGGGAAGAAAAAATCACAAAGAAACGCCATTTGTAATGTCCAGATGAGCATTGCGTCAGCTTGGGCCTTCCTAGTCGCTCGAGTCCTCTTGTTCTTTCAGGTCATCAATCAGGAGTTCGCCATGTTTTGCAAACAAAACCAACGGAAGTTTTTTTTTACTTGTAGAAGTTAGCCTACGAGGGGACAGCGAATTTATTTCCTCTAGTCCTGAAGACAGAACCGATGCTGACGTGTAAAATACAATTTAAAAGAAAGGTCACAAAAATGTTCACCGAGTATGATTTAGTTATTTTTTACGTTCGCTGATTTTCATAAGCATAAGTCACACATTTCACAGTTGACTATCAATAAAAAACTACATAGCTCCCATAAAAATTGAAGATTTATGTCAAAGATTGTAAATTTTTCAGGAATTTAGTCCGCGAACTGAGTTTTATCGTATAGATTATCGCTTCGTTCACTTATTTATCTCAAGACAAATTAATGCCAGTCGTCCGGCCGTGCACGATGTGCTGTAATAGATTTCCTCGCACAGACCTAAAGAGGATAGATGACCACGTGCTTGTCAGCCTGTTTCTCTCATGATAGGCAAGCTGCTCATCAAATATCCAGCTTATGGTATTCATCTGAAAGTTATTGCGTATAGGCAGAAGACACAAAGTAGTGTTTTGTCGGGTTCAGACGAGTATTATCTTTGTGGTTCGGGTGAGCGATATTCTATAATGACGAGAAATAGAACAAATCTCAATATACTGCGCCGATATTTGTTGAATGGCACGATTATGTTGTCATCTTAGTGTTTGTGTGATGCTATTGTATCTGCCAGTCAACTTTAAATTAATTCGTAGACAGGAAAACTGAGTCTAGAATCAAAACTGATTTATTCGTTGACATCCAATCAATTATGAAAAATTCTGTCTCATTGCTTACTATGAAGAGAACCCGACCGTAGGTCCTTAACCAAGCCGCTCGCATGCGGAGTTGGTTGTCTCAGGAGGCCTGCGATGGGTACGGACATGTCGCGATTGACTCGCAACATTGTCAAGCGTGACTTCCACATGCCAGAGATCTGTGCTCGTCTGAAGTCCTTTTATGAGTTTACAGGGATTTATCGTTGGCACTAAAGGCTCTCATGGCACTGTTACAGACAGCCACAAATATGAAGGCCACATCACCAGGCCAGGTCATAAAATGATCGCTTGCGCTCGCCAAACCATCGTGCATATTGCCATGCCATCGTTCTTATAATGCCCAAGCCGGGGACTCAATTTGCCAATTGGAGCTTTTACTAAAATTATCGTCGGGATAACAATAGCGACTGAAAGGAACGCGAATATTATTAAATTAGTATAATCAGTATAAAAAATGGCGCGCAATAGGATAAATGAGATCAAAATAACTGCGCCGGTTGTAGTTTGGTCCCTAGAGCGCCTCCGCGCAGAACAAAAATAAAAACATGAAATAAAATTCGCAGGTCTTAACGACCGCTTCATCCCTCTCCACAATCGCGCGAATCAACTTCTCTCTCATCACTCATCTTGCTTCCATCGAACAGACCAACGTCTCCACCATCCCTCATCCCTACCCTCACCACCATCGAGCAGACCAACGTCTCCACCATCACTCATACCTACCCTCACCACCATCGAGTAGACGTTTCCACCATCACTCATCCCTACCCTCACCGTCATCGAGCAGACCAACGTCTCCACCATCCCTCATCCCTACCCTCACCTTCATCGAGTAAACGTTTCCGCCATCCCTCATCCCTACCCTCAACCCCATCGAGCAGACCAAAGTCTCCACCATCACCCATCCCTACCCTCACCCCCATCGAGCAGACCAAAGTCTCCACCACCACCCATCCCTACCCTCACCCCCATCGAGCAGACGTCTCCACCATCCCTCATCCCTACCCTCACCATCATCGAGCAGCCACGTCAGGTTTTGTGATCTGCGTCACCATAACTCCGGCCGACCCTCTCACCCAGGAACTCATTGTCGTCTCCCTCGGCAGCGCGACATGACAGATAGCTGCTATCCAGCTCTGTGTACCTCGTCCCCTCATTATTGTTGCACTTTCGCTTCTCTATTGTAATCCAAACGATGTCATTGTGTCCCAGAAAATGTCACCAGTCTGTTCCCTCACCATGGGATCTATTCGTCCTTTCTAGAGCCGAAGTCGTTCGCTGCTATGAGCCGCGTTAGCTTTCATTGCTCGGAAAACCAGTCCTGTTCTTTTTTCGGTCGAAAACTCAAGTTAATCGTTAAGAAAATGAACCTTATTTCTGGCAGTGCATAAACTTCACCAAAAATATGCATGGTTATCTGGATTCCCGAGCATTAGTTGTAATTTGTAAGCGGTAACAAATTCGATCACATATGTAGGTTCCTATCAATGGGATCAAATGAACATTGCATTTGATCAATTATATGCGGCGCATGACAAAGCGCTTATACCTTGTACATCCTCGCACGATGAACGGTACAGTTGAGCAGCGCAGTCTTGCCTTCTGCTACGCTCACGTGGGTGCGCACGGCCGACGAAAACACTGGGCTCCCAACATCTGAAAAGATAAAAAAAAACATTTATATTCATAAAAATTGTTTGAATTGTGTTGCCATTTGAAGCTTATTACAAACATACAAAGACTCTGAGCCTTTTCTCTAATCTTTGACGCCGGTTGAGCAACTCATAATTAATGAAGATTACAGAAATTTCTAGACCAAATATCTTACACCTTGCATTTTATTCGTTAACTCGTACTTTAAAAAGTGATTGAACCTTAAATTACGCTGCGCCTAAAAAAGATAATAAAATTATGTAATAAAAATAATTAATAAATAATAAAATAATAATAAATAATAATAAAACTGTGTAAGATGAAATAATTACATTCCATAATGGATCTCGTAATTATTTATACGTTCTTGATTCTTGGGTTGTTAAAGTTTGACGGGTAGAAAAGTGAGAATGAAATGCAATGAAAGAAAAATATTGAGCTCATGAAGGTCGTCATTACGATATGCTCAGCCTGTGTTAAAGATTCATGAACAGTATAGAGCTGACGGAGGTTTTGTTATGAAAGAGCTTCGTAAATGGAAGTGAGAGTAAGATGTCAGCTCGACTTTTAATCGAAACATCGCTTAACTCGATAACACAAAGAGCTAATCGTCGCTTAATGCACCCAATTTCGGACGTCGCTGGAGCGCTGCTCAATATCTCGAGTCTCAATGCACGACACAAAAGTTGCACAGAGTGCAGCGTGTCGGCCCTTTGTTCGAGCATTTGTCGTGCCACTTTGTTCTGCGCGAAAGATGCCAAATTGAAACATGACGCGCAACAAAACCTACGAACATTTCTGTAGATTAATTTGTGGCGTTATTTGCGACGATGCAGAAGTGAGGGAAGGGAGCGAGTATTTGCTTTGTCGTGAGGGAACTGGAGACGACCCTCTCGCTAACTGTTGACTGATGGCAGCCAATTGGCGTCGCCGGCAGAGCAAACATATGAAAAAGCTTCAACTATACTACATTCATGTAATTTGCTATGTTATAAATATATACCATGTGCATAAACATGTAGTTTTTACACGTAGTTTTCTCTTACGAAGATTATAAAAAGTTTGATCATCGCGTTCTTCCTCTCTGTCATTATTTTCCACGAATTAACTTAACGACGCAATAATTACGAGCGTCAGGAGTCTTCCCCCAGGAGGACAAAGAGGCTATTACTACATCAGCCGAGCGACATTTTCCGTTCATGCGACGTGAATTAGGAGTACATCAACTATTTACTGCGTCATTATTCTTAGCGATCTATTTACACGATGCAAATAAGAATAGTAATATTTCTGAAGACAGTTCAATAAAATTAAACGCACGCCTAATTCTGTTATCACCACGTTAGTCATCGCGAGTCCCATTATTAAGAGGAGATAAACTGTATCAAGTCTGCCGGCACCACGTCTCACGTGCCAGTCTCACGTGTCAAGTACCAGTCTCATGTGACACGTGCATGCGTGTCGCACATGTCATGCACATACATGTATATACGTGTCTCGGGTGTCACATGCGAGTCTTGTATAAATGTTAGTTGGATCCGTTGCCTGTGGTTCTAACACGATTGTTCGCTTGTATCATACACCATCAACGACAGATATTGAAATAATTGTTTTTTAAATACCTTGAAGCTGGAACGAAGCCGTCACTATCTTAGCGTCTGACGCAGTTCGGATGAAATACGAAATAATCCGGGTGCTCACTCAGTTGACGTCTTTTACGAGTTCCTGCTGAAAAAATCTCTCGAACTCGACGACTTTCCATAAATAAAAGACAATCTGAGAATGCAGGCTCGGCCAAGCGGAAGCCAGCGGGTTTGTGGATGCGTTAACAGCTTCGCGATGACTCGCAAATTTGTCGTGGCTACGCCAAGTCCGGATTTGCACATCGTGCGACAGTGTTAAAATGCTGGAATTTGTCTCCACTTACAGCAGGGGCTTCTCAACTTCTATTTACAGAGATCCTGTTTGAGTGTTATTAACATGCAGCTCCTAATAATCGATTTTTTTAAATTCATGTTTACGGGGTATGTCGTTCGTACACTCAGACTCGCTAAACAAACATTTTCGGCCTCACTTTAGGTCAGTCGAGGGCTTCCTTTGGCAAGGCGTGCGCCTTGCGTCATAAAACATCCCTCTGGAGGATAAGCTGTGCGACTTAGTACGTACTTAGTTCTACTACTTATTACTTGGCTATACTTCTCAGTAATACTACCCCAACAGCGTCCAGATCGTTGCCATGCGCAGATTGTAAGAGCCAATTTGGCTGATACGAATTTTCAACTGAAGAGGTAGCTTTTTCAGTCTTTATTCGAGCGAGTTATTTTAGTAAGAGTTGAATCATATATTGCAAGGCTTAAATTACGATATTTTAACCAAATACCAGCCCGTATCGACGCTAACTCAACTTCCACCGAGAGATATTAATTTTCTTTACATTCCAGGGACCTCTGCCCTCATTCCGCCGAGTGGTTTCCCAGTGAAGAGAAAAGTTTCCAGTTAAATGTTGAAGTCAGTTTGTTTTCACTCGATCTTGGGCCTGGCCCGTCCGATGCTCCCGATGGTCATCGCACTCCGCAACCGAGAATTAAGGACCCATGTTGGCCAGGAGAAAAAGACTCAGATTAGTGACGCCTTTTCTTTTCCGTTCAGGCATTTCTTCGTTTCTGGTCTGGAAAGTCTGGAGCAGTGAGATGGCCGGCCTGGGTTCGTTGGTTTTTTCTCCAACGCTTTCTGACTTACCTGCTCTCAGAGCATGCCTAATGCCTCTGGGGAAACAGCAGTAAAAGTACATTGCTAAAGAATAAAAATTGAAATCTAAGTTCACATAATAGTTTAAAAACTCAAATAATTTTTTAACAACCTAATGCTTGACAGTAGGCACCTAAATTTTGAGAATATTTCCATATTAATTACCCTACAACTCATCGCTGAATAAATCCTCATTAATTCAATTTAAATTGCATCAGAAGCCATGCCTAAATCTCAATTAGTCACAAAATGATCGCATGAAAAAACGTACATGAACGTTCAAAAATCTTGGCGGCTCATTACATTGGAAAATTTCAAGGCGTAAATTTGAAAAGAAACGTAGATTCTGATCAAGTCAATGACATACAGAATATAAACATAATAGTCGAATATTTTCACAGAGCATCGGTTCCATGGCGTGAAATTCGTGTTCTGTCGCGCGGTGATTACTCGCAACGCACAATAGTTTCAACACGATTCATTTTCCAAGACGAATTCCAATATTTTTTCCCATAATTTAAACTTTCCGCAGAACGCATTTTTGCGGACTGAAGATGTCGTTTTTGAAGCCGAGTCACTGAAAACTAATGGACCCTAATGTGTCCTAATGGATCTATACCACAGCTGCGTAATGGGTCTCATGTATATAAGTTAGCTGGACGTGGGTGACGAAGAGTATGTCATCAAGCCCCGAGTTATGGCTACATGGAAATGCCAGCAGAAGGAACCGTTTTCGTCGTCAAATAGCTCCATCGCTGAATATATTAATGCATGGAACTTTTTCTGAACGGCTTTGCCACGGAGTAGATTAATTTTCATAAATTGTTAACTTTAGTTAGATAGTTTTCTGATCTTATCAAGATCGGTGCCAATAAGGGGTTGCTCCAAATCCGAAATATCGCCTTGATGCCGACAAAGGATCAAACTGACACTAATATGTGACTTTACTGGACAATTCATAAACCCCGGCCAATTCATAAGCCACGTCTCACCAAACTTGGGCCGTTTAGTGCATCAGAAAAATTGGAGTTCGCTTTCAGCTTTGGAAATATTGCATTACTTATCATTGTTGTTCATGATTAAACTGAATTACGAAGACAACAGTAATTGAATTGAATTCCTTACAACATAAATACAACGAAGAAAACCAGCGAGGCGAAGTGAAGCGTTATCACCAACACCTAACACAAGCAAAAATTTTTTATTGCTATCGCACAGTTTGTTTAAACGCTTCATTTCGAAACATCTTCTTCCGCGAGTCGAAGGATACCGAAAATTAAAGTAATATTGCCGTGCCTGGAACCTGGAGAACGCCTCATGCCATACGTTGTTGTACGTGCGAGGCTAAGCCGCGAGTGGCAGCCTTCTTCGGACCCTTCTTGTTTTAGGGGGACGCGCGATGCTGCTTGCTAATGAGGAAGTTGTTTGAGTCAGCAAACATTAGAGGCGAACAAACATGCCTGTTCTTCGGCTGACGACGGGGTAGGGGTGCGTTGAGCGACGGAGAGTAGTCGTGAAGTACAACATTAATTTCAAACGCGTCATCCAATACATGTTAAGGTAGAAAAATGCAGGTCATTAATTTTTAGTTGAGTACGTACAGCAGTCATACAATTGATGGGATAATTCTCCGTCTGCAGCGCCAGCAGAGAATCTCCCTAGCTGTGAAGAGGACAAAGCCTATTGTTGCATTAGTTATGTTTAGCAACTATATTAGTTACGTTCAGTTAACTTAGTAAGCCATGTAAACTGACTCATGAGTATGGGGAAACGAAGCAAAATTTAACTTTTTTATGCAATGATTTAGCTTGGCTTGTGAGGCCTCTGGGCGCATTTATTGTGCATCTTGTGCTCTTTCTTCAACGACTAAGTAAAATTGTGATTCCTGCATGAGAATTATTTCTCACATTTTCAACTCCAGGGATGAAGGAACCCATAAAAAAGGTTTCTCAACAGAGAGCTGGAACAAAATTTTCAAGAGGAGAAACCCATCCATACGATGAGGAAGTTTTAAATCCTTGAAAACCTTAGACAAGCCAAGACAAGTTTAAAGAATAGCGGAGGGTAAATTTTTGGCCTATTAAAACGTGCATTCATTTTTTGGAGCGGACTTTCCAAACTCTTCGCGGAATAGCAGTCGGAAACTTGCTCCTTCACTGTACCTTCGCCGCCAAAATCATTCCGTTCACTGCAATGACTTGAACACTGACGCTTGCCGCGGAGTAAATACTCAAATTATGGATCATGCAAACGAA